CTAAAAACCACTTCCCAAACTTTGTAGGCAGACCAGAGCTTGCTCCTCGGTGCTCTAATAAGATCTGTTCAGTCCCATCACTTGAGTGCCCATGTAAATCTATAAACTTACTGCAAGAGCCCAGTATCATCAGAGTTCAGACACAATGTGACTCTTAAAAATTAACAGTGGGGCTGGGGTATGACTCAGAGGTAGAGCACTTGCCTAGCACACACAAGGTCCTGAGTTCAATCCTCAGTACCAAAATAAAAGGAAGATGAACAAGGTCATTGCAGCAGACACCGCGTGAACCCCCCTCATTAGAGCAATCTCTTCTGCAAGCTGGAGGGCTACAGACACCTGCGCTTCTCTACAAGGCCCGGGTTCCAACCACAGAGACAGTGGGACATTTTCAGATGGAAAAGCAGAGGAGCTACAGGGTTGGGGGCTCGCAAGAGCTGCCCTCAATCAATGATAGGCATGGGTGGTGGAAACCAGAGTGATCCTTCCTCCCCGTCACAGTGGGGTGCTCTCTGTGGTCTCCATCAGTGCTCCTGTGGGCGGAGCTCCAGTTTCTGACCCTAGCAACTCACCTGATAATCTGCCTTTGATTGGCATGAGGCAAGGGAGAGGTAAGCTTCAAACTCCTCATGGTGTAGGCTGACTAGTTCTCATCAGATTCCTTTTCAGCAACTCCCACCCAGCTAGAGAGAATAGAACATGGGACAGATGTATCCCAAAGCAAAGAGGACTGCCCAGGAATTCACAGTCTAGGAGATTCTATACTGCAGGCTATTGGTTGACAGTCAGGGAGCTTATGTGGCCTAGGACATGCTGGGTCAGGCATTGGCCAACTTCCCAACAGAGGACATGTAGTGATGCTCAGGCTTTGCCGTTTCTGCATAACTGCTTGACTCTGCTGTCCTATTGCAAAAGCAGCCATAGGCAGTTTGTAAACAAAGGGATGTAGCTGTGTTCTAATAAAACTTTATCTACAAAAACAAGTGGCAGGTCAGATTAGGTGCCTGGGCCATATTTTGTGACTCTTACGAGTCACAGTCACTCCTGTGCCACAATCACCTAAAACCAGGTCTCTCTGACATCAGCACTTCTCCTCCTCCACCAAGCTGTAACCACAGACACAGGTATCTTGTGCAGCCCAGCGAGCAGAGCCCCTCGGCACAGAGACATTAAGTTCCAGATTTGGGACTAGGGATCTAACAGGCCAGAGGGTTCTGTGAAAATCAGTACTTTCCCTGTCTTTTCTTAGTTTAGTGTGCATGCAGGTCATGTATCTAAAACACACAACTTAATGACCAAACCCATGAGTATTCAACTCTCTGGCTCAGGGCAAGCCATAACCTTGTTTTCCAACTATGTATTCGAACATTCCGAAATTAAACCTTTGGATTATTGAATACCACAAGTGGGTTTTTTTTTTTTTTCTGCCTGCACTCAACTTTTATAAAAGAAAATGAGCCATTATAAGAAGTTTCTTCCAGAAATAACTTCTAGGGAAGTCCTGAGGTCAGTTTGGATTCAACCCAATCTTCTCGCTGTCAGTGAGATGGTACAATGATAATTCAAGTTTTTAATGATGACTCTGAATCATCCCTATCCTGAATCATCGAAGATTAAATTATGCTCAATAAATAGCCAGTATTTTCTAAAGCAAGAAAATAGACTTACATACTTTAGAAAGAAGTTAGAGAAGACCAAACAATAACAAATACTGAGCTCAGCCCGGGATGACCACAACACTGAGTTTACCAGAACACCACTTCCTCTCAAATTTCCATGTTAATGGACACTACAGAAAAGTCCAGTATAATTCAAGGCCAGTTTAACTTATTCTTGTACATAAGTAATTTTATGGGAGACAACACTGTAATTCAAATCAGCAAATGATTCAGTTTGGCTATAAAAGCACAAACAGAACCCTTGAAAAATTCGCTCGCTGTTCTTTCTCGCTGTAAACTATTTGATTTTCAGCCAGAAAACATACTACCAAACAAGACCAACTCTTTGCTTTCCTTAATGCTCGATGTAGCCTGTTACCCAAAGAATCAAGTATTAGTCATCAAATTCAGCATAAAAATAACAAAATTCGGGGATTCCTAAGTCATCATCTATTTCAATGTTGAGAGGCACGTTTGACCTCAGACAACATTGACATGGTCTTTCTTCTTGTAAGAATGGTGGCAGCTTCCAAAGGTCTCAGAATTTGCCAGTCCTTCCTTCTAACCCCCACCTGCTTGGTGGAAGCCATCTAGTCCAGGATGGAGAGCTGAGAGACCGCAACCCAGCCCCAAGTGGTGATTTTGAGCCAGAAAAATAAGCCAGAGTAAACAGCTTGTAAAAGCAGTTGCTCCAGAGCAAGCAGCAAGTGCAGCAGTTCTCTGCTCTTCTCTGATTGATTCTCCATTCTGTCTGCCATCTTAAATTCACTGACAATAGAAATTTGATCTTGGTCAACTCAAGCTTTGCACCACCTTCCCTATCTCTAGTATTTTCCTCAAGCTCCAAGAATTTGTGCAACATGGAGAAGGAATGGGGGCCATGGTGCTAGCTGTCTGTCTACTGTCCACTTTAGCTTCTAAGACATCCCCATTCCCATGGTCCTTAGTCATCAAGCCACAAAGACGCTGCCTAAACCCTGGATCCCCACTGTCCTGACCATTAGAACTTTCTAGGCCAGCTGTTCCCAATGTCATGTCCTCACCTGTCTCAGCTCCCACAGAATATTGTGCTACTGCCTATCCTGTATTGGGGTTCAGGTGGCTGCAGAATGAGGCACCCTAAAACTATTAACTGAGGTGCCTCACAGAGCCACTTTAGATCTATGACTTGAGACACCTGTGCTAGGATGAGTGCTGGACCTTTCTGACTTTGACCTCCCAAAAAGCAGGCAAAACCCCATCCTACATCATGAACACAGCTCAAAACAAAGGGGTGGGCTGCTCATGCCCAGCTCCATATCCAAATCACCTTCCACCACAGAAATTCTAATCTCTTCTGTGGAGAAACAAAGCACGCTTAGCAAACAGTCTCCCAAATCTATTGCTGAAGTATGAACTTCAGCTTTGAAACCCAAAAGAAAAGATATTAACTTGTGTTTCTTTCAATATTCATGCCCGGCACCTCAGAATGCTCTTCCGAAAACTTCAGAGACAAGGAGTAGCAGAACATGCTTATGGAAGAAGGCAAATAAGCTACTATCTCCAAATGATATCCCTGGAAAGAACTGGAATCCACATCTCTCAAAGAAAGTAAAGAAAGGAAGATGCAAATCTGAGAGAGCCCCAGAGACTAGAATCATAGACCAAATACAGAATTAAACTTTACACGTGAAGAAAGTAACCTGGGATCCATGTGGGGGAGGAGGGGAGTGGAGACCAGAGCTTCCTCCCCAAAAGTGCCAGTGCTGGGTGAAGACCTAGAGCCTGGAATGAAGGATAGACATGTTCAAGACTGAAGGAGAATGGCAGGGCCAAATTGCACTGCTGCCCAGGTGCATTTGTCTATTAAATCAGAACAGGTTGAGGTTGAGTAGCCTTCATCCAAAATGCTTGGGACTGCAAGTGTTTTGGATTTGAGATTTCTTTCAGATTTGGGAATATTTGCATACAGCTGAGATTGCCTTGGGGATGGGACCCAAGTCTAGACATGAAAGTCATTCGTGTGTCATGTGTATCTTGCACGCTTAGGCTGAGGGTTATTTTATACAATATGTTTAGTGCAGCTGCATTTTGACCATGATTTGTTCTATGGGGCGAGGTGTGGAATTTTCCGATTTAGTGCCACATCAGTGCTCAAAATGTTTCTGATTTTAGAATTACAGATTTCAGACAGATGCTCAAGCTATATGACAGTTCTGATCATTGCAACTTCTGGTGACCAGCAGCCCTTTGTCATGCAGCAAATGAAAACAAAAATGAATGGAATCCACCAAGCGGTTCTTTAAAACATTGTGCCAGTAATACACTGTATTTGCAAACTAGAGTGTATCACAGACTGAAGGGTGTTGCCTCCCACAGGAGCACAGTTCCTGTGGGACTGAGAAACACCACAGCCAGCAGGCAAGTGTCCTCTTGCCCCGTGTGTGCTGTGGACCAAGGAGGCATCTGGGGTCTTTGCAGCAGAACCCAAAAGTGAAGAAGACCAAGAGAAGAGAGGAACTTCTGGGGAGCCCCACCCTAGGCCCTGGGCAAGTGGAGGAAGCAATAGGGAAGGGGTGGCCCCTTCACCAAGTGATAGAGGGTCACCTCCCAACACTGACACAAATAAAAGACCAACTAGAGACACAACTGCAAAAAAAAAAAAAGAGTGAAATCACGCAAATGAGGACATAATTGATGTGTATAGGGGGACAATCAATGGAAAAGTTAGAAGCGTAGAATTAGTTTTACACTCCTAGCTGTCTACTGCAGCATGGAACATGCGTGGTTGTCACAGTTTGCAAGTGTGTATTTACTGGTTTGATCACACGTTTGATGTCTGCTCCCCCAAGTAGGCTGTAAGTTGCATGAGGAAAAGGACGCCACTATTGTCCTCTCCATCTTAGCAGTCGACATATGTAAGACTGTCCATATCTGTCCAGTGAATAAACAAAGTTAGTTATGGACCCTATTGAGGGTTCTGGTAGGGGTTTAGCATCCTGAAGAGAAAAGGAGATGGCCTTAGCCAGGCTGAAGTAGGAAGCCCAAAGTGGACCTTACTCATAAAGCAGGAAATCACAGGCCACCTCACTGCGACATGAAAACTAGAACCTCAGGCCATCCCCCCAACTGTGTAGAGAAAGCTCACCACAAGCCCAGGGGTCTTGGTGAACCCTGTGAACCCCCAGGAGAAAGTGAGCCTAGAGACAAGATGAAGATACGAGGTCCGGGGCAGGGCACTGGCACAGCCCTCCGGGGCTCTAACATCTCCAGCTCTCTAAGCACCAGACAGCATGGCCCCCAGCACTGTCCCTTGCTCTGCCTCTGGCTTCACTGACGTCACTCGTGCCTTGTGTTTTTCAGAATGCCGAAGCCAGTTACGACTTCAGCAGCAATGACCCCTACCCATACCCCCGGTACACAGACGACTGGTTCAACAGGTGAGCCGGGCCTGGGTACTGGGCCCACTAGGCGCTAGGGCTTTGTTTCCCGCTGTTTTCTTTAAAGCCTGACCATCACCAGCAAAATCAACCCAACGCTTCACTGACCATTGTGATTTTCCTTCTCGGTGGCTACATTCTCTATATTCATGGGTTTTTAAAAATATTACAATGCTCAAGAATGATCTTTTGACAATTTTGTTCTGTTGAAGTAGAAATTATTTGCCACTTTGTTAAAGATAAAAATAGAAATAAGAAATTCTTTCTCAAGCTACCACAGGGTGATTGACAATTTTTCAGAAGCTGACTTTGCTTGATCTGGTGAAACTATTGCAGGGAAAGGTTTTGCCTTGCTGGGTCGATGTCTGTTATGTTTTTGAAAAAGCATTTCTGCTATAAGGCTATAGCAGCTCACTTTCAACCAGACCAGGTATGGTTGGCAGGGGTGTGAAGGAATGTTTGGGATAAATATATGAAAGTGTTCAGATGTTCAGTCTACAGGTATCACCTTTCTTCAACCTGCTTTGCTACTAAACGTGTAAATGCACTCTCTCTTTTTTCCTTTGAGTAAACATCATGCTTACATAGCTAATTGCATATAATAAATTAAGATGTGTGCTTCGTTCAGTGAAAGAACACTGTAATTTTTAAACTTGTCTCATGGAGAGAGATTGATCAATGGGTTAGAAGATAGAGTTAGACAGGAAGGGAAGGTGCCATTGCACGGTAGGGCCCCTACAGATAGCAATGACATAGTGAATATCTCAGAATGCTGTGGGAAAGGATGTTTGAATATTTTCACTACAAAGAAATAATTAAATGTTTGGGAAGACAGATACATTTCATTTGACATTACACAATGTTTTCATATGTTGAAACATCACCTGGTGGCCGTTAATAAGTAATTTTGCTTTTATGCATCAGTTTAAAATAAATTTAATTTAAATAAGTAAATAAAATAAATGTAATGCTTCTCTATTATCCATACCCTTGGGTGAAGTTCGTGAACATATGGAATTCAATGCGTGGCATAAAAATACATTACATGCAGAGTATTTTATCATGGCTTTTACTTCTCATAGCAGCAAGAGCTACCCTTTTTAGCTTGGTGATGAGGAAGCAGGCTCAGCAAAGTTGAATAGCTTCCTTAGTCTAGCAATTAATGTTCAAAACAAAGTCAAAGGTAGACTCCTGTTTCCAGTTGCTTCTAAATCTGAATGTGTACTATTTTTTTATAAGTATCGCTTTAATGTTTTATACCAGAAGTGTAACACCTGAGTGACCCAGGGAAACTCCTTAGTAGACCCGTGGCTTTAGACTCTGTTCTTACAGTTTGGTTTTTTTTTTTTTTTTTTTCGTTTTTCTCCGGTACCGGGAACCAAACTCACGACCTTGCACTTGCCAGGCAGGCGCTTTGCCGCTGAGCTAAATCCCCAGCCCCTGTTCTTACAGTTTGGAAGCTGACCTAAGAACACCAGGGGGAGAGATCAGGAACATGGACTCTAGGGTGTGGAAACTGCCAAAAAATGAAGAAAAGGATAAAGAAGTAAAATTCAAGTCCGTTCTGTGCTTGAAGGATCGTTGCCAATGCCCTATAGAGAAATCATTCTCTGCCAGCTTCATCTGCAGCCTGAAAATTGCCACGCAGGGCTTGGAAGTTGTGTGTCTGGAGGATGAGGCCGTATTAAAAAGATCTGAAAACCTCAGGCACGAGGTGCCACTTCTTCCCATGACTTACAACACCAGATCCTAGCATACTCTTAGCAAATGAGCCACTTTCAGATACAGGGAAATGAAGCTGCAGAATAAATGCGATTCAACACTGAGATAGGCCAATAAATGTCCAATAAATGTCCAGCACTGAGCCTGGTGTTGGACATAATCGGCAGTGGCAGTGAGGGACGCTGTGTGCGGAAGGGTCTGGCTTCACCTGAATTGATCACCAGCCCTCCCCTTGGATATCAGAAAGGGCAGGCACAGCACATGTATCAACCAGCTATCTCTCCACAGCTAATGGGTGCTCAATTAATTCTTGATGGATTGATCCAAGCACAAACACAGAAGCCAACAGAATAGTTTTTCCCAAATCCTGTGTACTAAATTCAAACACAAGCACCTCCAACCAAATCTGCTTGTACGGTAGGCTGCAGGAATACTCCTACAACACAAGAACACCAAGGAAATGCCTTCTTCCTTCAATATTTTCTTTGGCCAACTTGCTCTTGAAAGAACAATTTTAAACAGGCTAAAAACCTCTAATTAGAACCAATTAGTGTTTAGTGTAATAAAAATTTGTTGCTGTCAGCAGTAAGAATTCCCTGGTATCCATTTACGGGAGACACAGTGGCAGTGACTCCCAGCAGGCGTTATCTCCGTGTTGTAGGAAGCCAGTGACTCAAGGCTGCGTGCACTTTGACCAGTAAGTGGGTCTCTCCCAATTAGCCACTCATTTTCAAAGATCCTTACCCACCTCGGCTTGTTATTCAAAGATTGAGCTTTTATCATTCTTCTGCCACCACCACCACCCCATCCTGGGGGTTGAACCCTGAGTCACATGCATACCAGGCAAGTGCTGTACCACTGAACATGTTTACTCTATTTTAACACAAGGTCTTACTAAGATGCCCAGGCTGGCCTCTAACTTGCAATCCTCCTGCCTCAGCCTCCCAAGTAGCTGGATTACAGGTGTGCACCACCACAGTCAGCTACAGTACCACAGATTAGATAGGCCGAGCTCAGCTCATGGCATCTCAGAATGTAACTACTGTTGTAACTGATTATGGGAGGAGAATGAGTCAAAGTTCAAGCCTCACTGTGGGGAGAATCCTTCATCCAAAATGTTGGCACCACTCTTGAGATGATTCCTGCTTGGCACAGGACGAGTTTGAATAAAGCATCCTTCCCGTAAGTATAGGATACATTTATGAAAACGTCTGTCTAGGGTTAAATGATACTACATCTGGTATTTTCTTCAATATTACTGATATCTTGAGGAAAGAGGTGAGAGATGGGTTGGTGTGTGGAGGAAATAAAAATGGCTATGAGTTAATCATTGTTAAAGCTGGGAGACAGTTACATGGGAGTTCATCCTATTTTCCTGTCTTTGCTATTTTCTACAATAAAAAGTAAACTTAAAGTGAATCAGGCAGGAAAAAAAAAAGGGCAATAAATAGACCTGGGACTTGAGGTCTCAAAATAGACTTTTGTACTTGTGACACTACTTGACTGGGTGTCCAAACGTCCACCAAGCTGGCAAAGTCTCAGGAAGAAGAAGCCTGCGCCCAAATGTCTGCAGTGCTAACGTGGCCAAAGGAGCAGCAGCACAGGCAGAACTAAGGCACCGTGTGTAACTCACCATCATTAAGCCACTGGGCTTAGTAGTCGTATGCATGAGATAGTCGTATGTATGAGATGAGGTCAAAATACTTGGCCAATGTTTAAATTTTAAAAATTATTCCAGTAAAAGGCACATTGCCATGAATCCTCAAAACCTCCCCTCTCACTTCAAACACACCTATCCATCTGGAAGTCCTTTTACGTGAGTGTCTTTATGACAGGTGATCAAAAATATAGGGAATGCTGCTGCCAAGTGGCATGCAACAGAAAAGTGTGCTCGTAAAAACACCACAGCACGTCCTCATTCACCTTATTCAGTGGATCTGGCACCATGTAACTTCTGGCTCTTTCCAAAGTCAAAATGACCATGAAACATAAATATTTTAAATCCATTAGGACATCAAGGCAGCCATAACAGCACAACTAAAGACACTCATGAAAGAGGACTCCAGAGCTGCTGCAGAAAGTGGCAAGGACAATGGGATAAGTATATTCAAAGCATAGGGGATTAACGGCAATGCATCCTTTACTATAATAATTCTTTTCATTTAAGTATCCACCGTAGTTTCCTGTCACATCTCATATTAATTCAATTAATTCTGGATAAAACCCTCCAAATTATGTTCATTTTGGAAACTGAGGTGCAGATCCTAAGCTCCTGTTCAAGGTCACACCACTTCTGAGTGATAAAGGCAGCTTTTGGTGCCCCACGTGGGAATCATCAGTCCAGGATTTGAAGGAGTGGAGTTGGGGCTGGAGGACAGTGTATTCCAGGTGGAGTTGCAGCTGGAGGACAGTGAATTCCAGGGCAAGTGTGTGGTTTAGGCAGAGACAGTGAAGAAGGAGGTACGGGTATGTTCAAGAGGTGGCCTGGGTAACTGACGCAGGTGTTAGAGACTGACACAGGGGGTTGCATTCTAAGAAGGTTCACCTAAAAGGTGGGGCAGGAAAGGTGTGAGTGGGCTGCTAAGAGAAAAGAGATGGGGATACTTCACGGGCAGGAGCATGGGATGAGGAGCCTCCTCCACCACACTCCGGGAGCATCGCTTCCCTGTGCCCAAGCCTCGAGCCCAGCCATGGCCCTTGGCCAGCACAGAATCTACAGCTGGTGGCAAAGGAGCCTCTCGCAGCTGCAGGGCCACAGAGGCTTACCCAGGACCTGCAGCATCCTTTCTGCATGTGGCACCAAGTCTGGCCCCCAGGCCACATTAAGGGCTGCCCACCACTGCCCAGGGAGGGGTCTCTCGCTACACACCACTCCAGCCGTGCTGCCCGCACAAAGGTGAGCAGGATGCAGGAACAATGGGCAGGAATCGGCAGCAGCTCCCCATCACTGCTGCGGAAGGGAGAAAAGAAACTGCACCCTCAAGCCTGGAATAAAGCATGGCCCTTGGATGAGAAACCGACTTCGGGAGCATCCCCTCTTCCTGGGTGTCCTGTGCTAAGCCATTGCAGCAGCCCTGCAGATTTCCTCATCCCCTTGTCTTCCTTCCAGTTTGCATGGCTTTAAGAACATATTTAAAATCCCAAGCCAAAGACTCTTCAGGAAAACAAACTTGAAATGAGACCTGCTTTGGACAGGTGTGTGTATTAGAATGGCCTGCCCTGGGCTTGATGAGATTTTGCAAGATGGTTCCTTTTTCACAGAGTCAGTGTATTTATTCTCCGGTGAAGCATTTAATAATTACAGGCAGTATCTGAGCTCCGGGGATATATCTGAAACACAGTCAAGACATTTACAAACAGAGTCTAATTTTCTCCTAGTTTGCAATCAGAGAAATCCATTTGGCTAAACAAAATAATAACCCAAACTGCAAAAAGGTAGGAAATATTACACATTTAATGAGCATCAGTAATGAGCAGAAGAGATATCATTGATTGGCTGCGGGGCATCAGGATCTAACACATCTTGTTTCTTGCTAGAATTCAGAAAATATTGATTGGCTGCTTGATGGATGGGTGGCCCTACCTTTTCAGCCGTGATGTTGAGTGGCCTTGACATCTGTCCATTTTACAGCTGCCTGCTACTCACAAGGTTTGAGGCCCACATTTTGTCAATAGTCTTGCAGCCTTGCTCCGTTGTAAGTCAATGTGTGGTGAAACAGCGCAGATCTGTATTCCATTACTGTGCTGCTGTCCATAAAATCGCTAGTGCGTAGCATTTCCTTGACAGGCATTCCCCATGGAAATGTCATCCCTGCCACCGGCGGTATTTACGGAGCGTTCAAGGGTGCAGCACACTCTCTCTATTAGGCCCTAAAGAGTAAGAGATTCCGGATTAGATGTGATTCCTGAATGTAAAAAGTTTACTATAAATTCAGAAAGAAGGAAGACATTTATTACTTAAGCAACTGAGATGGGGGGAAGGAAGAAGGACAAATGGATGCTAAAAAATATTTATCTCTCTGGGAGTTAATGTGATTGATGGTGTTATTAAACCTTCAGATAAGAAAAATTTCTGGGAATTAACTTTTTGTTCCTTATTAAAAGTCGTATTTCATTTTGAAGAACCTACATAGCAAGCCATGGAAGAGTGTATGGGACACATGGCTATGCTGGCTCGCTCCTTCCAAGCTGATGTAAACTGACACTTTACCCCAGTGACACTTAATGGCTTAGGAAGAGAAGAACATCTTTCCCTTATGTCTTTATGGACCGATTCTGAAATCACTTCCTGGAGACTAAAATTCAAATGGTTTTCAAAGACCTAGTCTAACATTTTTTCAAGTGAGCTTCGAGATTCCCTGAAAGGTAGATTTAGCTTAAAGGTTGCTGCTTGTAACGACCGAACTAACCCTCTCTCCGCCCAAACCAGAGCTCGGTGAGCTCCCAACAGACTATAATTTTGTTAGCTATTCAGAGCCATTGCAGGAGCCGTAGTTTTTATTTTATTTTATTTCTAGTCCTCTATCTGGGTTAGACAAGTGTTCATCATTTAAATTCTCCCTTTGGCTAAAAGACAGAGACATCATATAGATTTAAGGGGCTATGGAGAAAATTATAAAGATTGTAAAAGACTATAATAGAGGTGTTGGCATAATCCTGTCTTCTTTGGAAGTTAATGTTATGCATGCCTGCTAGGGAAATTTCATGGTCTCCAAGTGGCAAAAGAATCTTTTCTCAAGAGAAAAAAATACGGTGAATAATGAGGAACAAATGTATTGCATGGATTGCTGGGTATGGAATCAGTGAGCCCTGACTCAGTTTCCCTGTCCAGACAATGGGGCTGATTCTCCCACCTAGAAGGTTTTATTCAGGGATCAGAGACAGGGATATAGAGTACAGGGATACAGACACAGAGCGAGGCCTGGGCTAGACACTCCCTATGGGGCAGCAAGTGCAACTGTGAGTCTCAGTACAGGGGTTCTACAGGGACTAAGTCAAAGATTCTCCCACTAGTTAGAAAAGGGAGAGAAATTATGCAAAGGGAGCCAAGGGGTGTCCCAATCATCCACCCATCTCCCCCACACAGCCACTCTCTCATCTGAGCTTTTGACAGAAACTAGATCTCACTTGGTGCAGGGTTGGACTTTCTGGTGAGAATCTAACGCCTGTGATTCTGCGTTGCTGGTTGAAAAATGAGTTATATCCAAAGATATCTCTCACATGTGCGACCGGGTCGATTGAGTCGGGAAACTGGAAAGCCTAATGTCTAGCCTCAGGAAGATGGGGAGGGGTACTCCTCACTTGTACAGAAAGCACTGGTGCCTAGCAGAGGGTCTCTCCTCTACTTCTGCAGTTGGACCCATCACCTATCCTAACTCATCCTGCCTTGCCTGTTCATTCCCCACCCCTCTTACCAAGAGGCTTCTGAAACCCAAAGTCTTACCTTAGGGAGCTCATCAAGCTTCAGCCAGCAAACACAGCTCACGCCAAACTAGCTGGGGAATCTCTACATTTTGGCTCTGCTAGATTTCTCATTGGAAATTCTGTGTCTAAAGCTGCGGCTGAAAAGACCCTCAGAAATAAGCGCCAGCCTGTCATTCTTCAGAAATAGCAGAGGCGCCCAGCCAGCACACACCTGCTATATAGTGGGTTTCATTTTTAAAGAAACCTGTGTGGTTTCTGCAGAAAGATACTTCCGATTTTAAAGGGAAGATCAAATGTTCAGGTGAAAAATGTTCTCAGAAACCTCCTCAGGACAGAAGCAACCAGCAGGGCGGATCAGGGGGCGTTGGGCTATTTGGACAAAAGACGGGGTGGCCCCAAGCCAGCGCATCCCAGCCAAGCCATTACAGAGAATTGATTGCTTCCTGCTGAGAGAACCCAACTCTCCTGCAAGCGCTCCTGATACTGGATCTAACTTGTCTTTCTTTCCCACAGCCACGGCACGAGGTGTGCAGGAGAAGTTTCAGCATCTCCCAACAACAATATCTGCGGGGTCGGGGTGGCATACAACTCCAAGGTCTCAGGTAAGATGGCCCTGCCGCACCACTGCATGAGTGAAAGAAAACTTTTAATTTTAACTTGCACGGCAGTAGCAATGCATTTAACTTTTTAAACCTAAGCATAAGATAAATACGGTAACACACAGATCGGAAGCATATAGCCCAAGGGTTTTGACAAGTGCAGTAGCCATGTTACCAATAAGAACAAAAATGTGACCAGACCCCAAAGCCCTCCCTGCCCTGAGGCTACTATCCACTTACCCAATAGCAATAGTCTTACTGTAATAGCAAAAATTGGTCCTTTCTACTGTTTGAACTTTGTGTAAATGGACTTACACAGTCAGTACCCTTCCCTGTCAACATCAATGACATTTGAATATGACTCAAATAGAAACTTTAGAATATAACATGTGTATGCATGATTTGTAAAGATACTCAGAGCTGTTCAAAATGTTGTACATGGTGGACGGCATCTTCAGGGAGACCTAAACTACCTAGAACTTCTTCCAAAGTTCCACTGTGTCAGACATTAACAATTTCCTTTTCACGGGGGCTTTAGAAATGGGAGTGAGTGATGTGTCTCAGGAAATTTAGAAACCAGCACCACCACCACTCCAGAAAAGTGAGAAGGGAGACAGACGGACAGACAGACAGAGAGACTGGGATTCATAAACTTTCAGTTAGATGCCCAAGAATGGACTGGTGCCTGGCCTGTTCCAAGTCCAGTATCAAATTGTTTCTTAATTTATTCAGACTGAGTCACCCAACCTTGTTTTTCTTTTCTTTTTTTTTTTTTCCCCCTTTAACAACTGTCTTGATTTTTTTCCCCAGTAATTTAACGGAAACATAAACTTACTTTGTGCTGACGTTCACATTTCCAGGGCTTAAATAAAAGCAGCATACCCTGTACCAGCCCACTGTGAACAGCTTTCATGACCGTCCTGAGCTGGGTGATGAAGGTCACAAGAGAATCCAGCTGCGGGGGGGTCTCTGAAACATAGACAGAGGGAGGCTCTGTCCCTGGGGCCTCGGCTCTTATCACTTTGTGGGCGCCCACAACGCGGCCTCAGGGAAGGGTGGCACTTGGTTAAAGGTTCACGCAGTATTTCACAAGCCGAGCTCACGCCGGGGCGGGTATCTGGGGCCAGGCAGCTTCTCACACACAGCGCGGGACCAGAGGCCACGGGAAATTCAAACCTGAATTTTTCATTCTTATGATCAGCTTCAAAATAATGTTGAAGTCTCCACACCCACAGTATCTGGCCTTTTGGAACCAAGCGATCCGGAGAGGGCAGCCGGCACCAGGGAACGAGTCGGGGCAGCTCGGTGCCTTCTGGGACACCAGGTCCCTTTCCTCTTGCCCTCTTGTCTCTTTTTCTCTTCTCTCTTGTTATTTGCACTCCGAATACATCTGGACTGCCCACCGAATGGGCACCGAATGGGTTCTCCAGCTGAGCGCAGGCTGATCTCTCTGTGCCTGCTGGGGACGCTGCCTCCCCAGCCCCCTTTCCACTCGCCCAGGGTCAAAATGAATTTCACTAGGAACTCTGGAGAGCTGCTCAAGAATTGCAAACCAAACCAGAGTTCCAGGCCCCTCGATCTTACAGATTTAGGCAGGACATGTTACTCGCTCTGGTTGACAAGTCCAAGAGTTGGCTGTGTTTTAATTATTTGCTAAAAAAAAAAAAAAAAAAAAAAAAAAACGAGCCAAACTCCGGGGAAGAATCTTCCTTCCAGGAGCTTTCTGAGCTAGGGAGGGCTCGCGCGCCACCTCGTGGCCAACTGCTGTCATTGCTCGTCCTCGCGGGCAGCAAGGTGGAAGTCCTCGGGTCTCTGTCCAGCAAGCGTAGTTAAAGTGATCAGTGAATCCGTGTTCCCAGGGCCAGGTCCCCATGACTTCTGGCGCCCCCTTCGCCGTGGATACACCTCCCATATACACGTGTGATCATGTCTGGGTAAAGACCTGTTAGGATAACACCTCCTTCCGCCTGGATTTTCCCGAGGGCCCTTCCTCTGCCCAGAACACGTCCCCATGTCTACCCAGCACCTCCACTTCCTCCTCCAGCTCCCAGAACCCCCTCTGCTTCCTCCAACATCATCTCTCCACCAGTCACCTCCTCTATGCTTGATAAAAGCACCTGGAATTTTTCCTTCTCGGCGCTCCCTAGTGTTGGTCATTGTGGATTTTTGTGCCTCATTAATCCGGGTTCTCTGGAGAGACTGAACTAACAAGAGATAGAGTGGCCAGGCATGGTGGTGCACACCAGTAAACCCAGCGAGCCAAGAGGCTGAGCAGCAGGAGGGTGGCAAGCTTGAGCCCAGCTGGGGCAAATTAGTGACTCAGAGAGACCCTGTCTAAAAATGTAAATTTTTAAAAGGCAGCTTGAATGTAGCTCAGAGCAAAGGCCCTGTGTTCGACCCCCAGTACTAATAGAAAGATAGATGATACATACATACATACATACATACATACATACATACATAGATGATTGGTAGATAGTAAGTAGATAGAAATTTGGGTCTAGGACTCCTCACAAAAGTCCTTCTGCACCTAGAAACCCTGGGATACAGGCCTGAGACCCGGGGGTTGCCAGGTAAAGTCCTGGGGTCCAAAAGCCAAGGGCCTGGAGTTCTGATGTCTGAGGGCAGAGGGAGGGTGTAACCCAGCTCCAGGACAGAGAGCACCCAGGCTGCTTTCCCTCTGCTTTCGCTCCCTTGACTAATGACCACATGAGGACAGGACTCACCATTTTGCCCTCGCAGACCGCCCCCCCCAAGAGCTGTACCTTCCCAGGGCTCCGGGTCAAGAGGACCCTCAATGAACCAGCCCGCATGTGGCTCCTGGACTCTGATCTTTGCCCCCAGAAAGCAGCGCCCTGTCTGCCTCACTCCCCTGCACTCAGGGTCAGGCTCACCATGGGAGCCCAGCCTGGCTGCTAAACCTGTGACAGAAGACAGGGGTGGTGGCACACGCCTGTAATTCCAGCACTTGGGAGGCTGAGGCAGGAGGATCATCGCGAGTTTGAGACCAGCCTGGGTTACAAAGTGAGCTCAAGTCCAGCCTGAACTGCAGAGCGAGACCCTGTCTCAAAAAGACAATAAATAAATAAATAAATAAATAAATAAATAAATAAATAAATAAATAAATAAATAAACCCATGACAACACAGGAGGAGAAGGGAGGCCATGGATGAGCATCGGTGCCAGCAGCAAGGCTCATGGGAATGGGCAGGCCTGTGGCCCCAAAGCCAGTAGAAATTCAACCCTGGGAGCAAAACACCTCCTCCTCCCAGCCCCACTCACCTTGGCTGCTTTTGTAGCCAAGCCCCAACCTCAGGTGTCCTCCTACCGTTAAAAATAGCACGTGACTTCCTAGGGCTGACCTTGCCTGCTTCGCCATCAGTATACCTTGAGATTGAACACTCCTCTACTGCAAACACCCCCTGGTCTTTGCATGAGAACAACTACAGCAGGGGAGGATGCTGACGGACCCTCACTGTGCACCAGGCTCCGGGGAAAACTCTGCTCTTTCTCCCCTGCTCTTTTACAAGGAAAACTCTGCTCCTTTACAGTCCTGACAGAGCTGTTATGTGTTCTCGATGCCATATCATTATATAGCACTAGCCTGTTTTTACGGGGAACAGTGTTGAAATACGGAGGCTGTGTACCAGTGCACTGCAGAGCAATCTTGCACCTGGTGTGGATCCTTTTAAAAACTCTTTCCCAAATCAGTGTAGAGATTCCTCAAAATAATAAAAAAAAAAAAAAAAAGACATTCCGTTTGACCCAGCTATCCTCCTCCTAGGGATCTTCCCGAAAGAGTTAAATTCATCATATTACAGGGATCCATGCATACTTGTGTATCACTTGGAAACAATGTATATGTCCACCAACAGGTGAATGGATAAGGAAAATATGTGTTTACACACACTGGAGTACTACCCTGCCATAAAGAAAGATGAACTTGAGGTATCCATAGGTACGTGGATGCCCCTTGAGAACATACTATATGGAGTGAAATAAGTCAGACACACAAGCTCAGATATCACATGGTTTCTCTTATCTGAGAAACAAAATATATATTCAAATAAAGAGCAAAATAGAAGAGAGATAAATAAGTAGTAGCGACTTCAGATAGTTCCCCAAATTACATATTCTGTTGCATTAAAAACCTTCTAGTATATAAGCTAATTTGTTTCATTTATACTAACAGTTTATTTTAGTTTGTTGGAAAGTTTGTGTTATTATCAGCTGTTTCTTATTAGAATCTTCTTGGTTTGTGTCTTGTACTAAGTAACTACTTTGAAGATAACAATTCACAGTGTAATAATTATTATTATTCTCTTATTATTTGATTATGAAATTTGTTCCAATTTTTCATAAAATATTTTTGTTAAAAAACTCTTGCCTAGTAGGGCATAGTGGTGCACATTTGTAATTCCGGCACTCTGAGAGGCTGAGGCCAGAAAATCATAAATTCAAACCCAGCCTGGGCAATTTAGTGAATTAGACCCTGTCTCAAATTTAAAAAAAAAAAAATTTTTTTAAACCCTCACTTTCCCAGGTAGGTGGGTTGGACCCGCCTGTGCACCTCCAGTGACAAGAACCTAATGTCCTTTCTTCCTTCCCTTAAGTCTGCTCTGCCCTTGGGTTCTCGTGACTCTTGGAAATCTGTGCCTTAAGAGCTGCCCGCTGTGGCTTTGGGCCCCTTTTCCATGGAGACAGCGGTCACCACCTCTTCTCCATGCCACCTAGGCAGAAGAGGAACACACATTCCCACCAGCCCGACCCCCATGCAGCGTCTGCCGGGTAACACCACAAGCTAGACGTCTAGGGCATCTCCAGCATCTTGGTGCAATCTTGAAGTTTTAATAATTCCCAAAACCACAGCCAGGCGTGGTGGTCCCCACCTGTACTGCAGAGGTTGAGGCAGGAGGGTCACTACAAGCTCAAAACCAGTCTGGGCTACGTAGTCAGACAGCAACAACAAATTCCAAAGAGACAGAAAAGATTATCTGAAAGTTTCACTATTGCCATTTCATTACCTATTTCTTTTTTTTTTTTTGATTACCTACTTCCTTAATTTCATAAATATTGAAGAAAAAGATTAATTTTGTTTTAAAGATGCCTTTCTTGAAGTAAATCTCAAGAAGATAACCCAATTCTTTTTATTTTAACTTTTATACCAATGTTTGACCTCTTCAGTCAAAAGAGATTGAAACAAGAAATTAAAATTTTTAAACGTGGGATTAAAAATTCACAAACCAGAGAAGCGCACAGCCAATATAAACGGTGAACCCTGCCAGTCGCGCTGCTCGCAAACTTGTCCGATTTACTCTGCTGAAAGCAGCGCTGACGGACCTCAGCCTCAGTCCTTGCGGTGCAGGACGAGCAGGGCACATCCTGTCCTCGCAGAGGGGACATGAGTGTGTGGCACCCAGACACCGTCCCCGTCCCCGCTCCAAGCCAGGACAGCGCGAAGCCAGGTGACAGCGGATCTGGCAGCGCTTTGCCCGACACAGCCGGTAACAGGCGACAGGCAGCCCACGATCTGAGGCCAGGGTTGGCAGACTGCAGCAGTCCGAGAGAGCCCCACCCAGGGGCGTGGCCTGCACCTTCTTGCCTGCGCATGCGCACGCCCCCTTGGCGTGCAAGGTGTGCAATCAAAAAAATTAAAACCAGTTTTTAAAAAGATTTTGCAAAAAGTTTGAAAACCACACTGCTGATCGCTGCCAAACTACCCTGCAATTTGTCTTCCAGCAAAGAATTTGTTTCATATATGCTCCTCATTACTATTGGACGATAAATCTCCGGACACTTGAGAGATTACACATATTTTATCCGAGTTCTTACACAGCCCATGGAAATCACCCTGAGCACAGTGATCAGTGTGTTTGCAGATCTTAAAACCTGGCTGAACAAGACCTTGTTCCTGAGCCCCCAGGGCAGACATTCGGAGCACAGACAGAAGTAATCAGCACTGCGGTTGAACAGCAGAGGACGGGTGCCAGGGACACGCGATGGCGCCCTTCCTGAGGGGCAGGGCAGAGAGGACTCAGCTCCAGCCACCTTCCGGTAGCCCCAGGGCACCAGGGTCCACTGCGCTGCAGGGCAGCAGCAGGCAGGTGAGGCCCCTAAGAAACAGCAGGAAGCCTGATGTGGAACACCCCATAATCCCACACTCCAGAGACTGAGGCATGAAGATCACCTCGAATTCAAGGCCTGCCTGAACTATAAGTAAGACCTTGTCTCAGAAAGAGAGAAAGAAAGAAAGAAAGAAAGAAAGAAAGAAAGAAAGAAAGAAAGAAAGAAAGAAAGAAAGAAGGAAAGAAAGAAAGAAAGAAAGAAAAAGAGAGAGAGAGAGAAAGAAGAAAGAAAGAAGGAGGGAAAGAAAGAGACACAGGGACAGAAAAAAAGAAAGAGAGAGAAAGAGGTAGACAGAAGGAAGGAAAAGAGGGAGGGAGGGGACGCAGAGCCACCTCTGCCTCTTAACTCAGTGTCAGGTCTGCTTGGGGGTGGGGTCTGGCTCTGTTCCCACCCACTGAGTCCCCAAAGCCAGGAAGGATGCTATGAGGCAGCCTCCTGTATCCTTGGACATCTCTGCCTCTGTCTCCCTCCCTCCTTGCCCCATGGCTCCTAGAGAATCCAGGGATGGAAGAGAGGCTCTCAGGTCACCGTGAGCCTCCGCCTCCGCTGCTGGTGGTGCTACCGCTTGCTAAATTAACACTGTGTCTCATTCACTGAATGCCTGCCCCTTCCTTCCAAACCTAATGGGTTTAGAAGAAATGTCAGGCTCCTGGCCCCAGAACATCCAGGAGCCTGGCTCCCAGGCTGCAGCCTCCCTGCCTCCCTGATCCGTGTTCTCCTCATGAAGGAATCCTTGCAGGGATGAGATGCAGGGACAGAGCAGCAAAGAGGAAGAGGGAGCCAGGCCCCTGGATGCGCCACACCAGCTCTGACAAAATCCCAGGCAACCTTTGGCTGCCTGGTGGGACAGTCCAGATCCACCTTGGCCAGGGTTGAATTTGGCCAGGTGAGCTGGTCAGTCCTGCCCATTTGGGCACTAGGCAATTTCAAGAGCATCACCAAAGTTTCTCTTTGCAAGTGGCAATGCTGTGTTGGTTTAGCACCCAAAGAGCAGAAGTAACTTCACAGAGAACTGGTGCTGTTGTTTGTCATGTGTATCCTGGGCCACCTTTGTTGGGTACACTTTTTTCTTTCTTTTTCTTTTTCTTTTTTTTTTTTCGAGACAAGGTCTCAGTTCAGGTTTGTTGTGGTCAGGGTTTGCAAGAAAAACAACAGAGGACACATAATTTATAGAATTACTTTATACTAATCACCCAAAGAGTCCAATTCACAACAGTGCAGGAAATCTATCCACACACTAAAACTCAAAGAATCCAGCTAAGGATCTGGATCCTACAGCAATGTCCTGCATGAGTCCAACTGGAGGCCAAGAGCCCATGACAATGTCTCATGCAGGCCTGTTTCAAGGATTTGCACTGGGAAAGAAGTGCAGTCAGCAGTAGAAGCTAGAAAGTATGTGCCAGCAGGATGAAGGATCTGTGTCAGCTGGCTGAGGGATCTGCACTGGAGCCGGGAAGCGACACTCAAAGTAAGGATCAGAGCTCCACCAAAGTGGACCACAGCCATCCTCAGCAACAACAAGATCCTGAGCTCCTTTGACGATGAGAACAGCCACATTCATATCATGAAAGCCAGCATGAGCAGCTCCTCCAGGAGAGCCACCAGCCCCAAGAAAACTAACAGCTCCCTAACAGCACCTCTTCTTCTCCAGTTCTTTTTATTTGTTGGCAACAATCCTCTAGTGGCCTCCCAAACTCAGCACCACACTGGTTCAGTTCAGCTGGGTGTTACAAGTTGAACACTCTGGTTTCTCTTCAGATCATATAAATCTTTTGCATTTTACAAGTTGACCACTAGTTGTTAATCCAACAGCCAGGTATGGCTTGAACTCCTAGTGATCCTCCTGCCTCAGCCTGCTAAGTGCTGGGATTGCAGATGTGTAGCACCATACCCGGCTGTTGGATGCATTTTTAAATAAATAATGTAGAATCACACCCAAGGCAAACTACAGTTCTAAACTTCCCATATCCTTATAAAATGAACTATAAAATGCAGCTTCCCAAAAGTTCAAACCAAAGACCAACCTTGGTTCTAGATAAGCTTCCTCCAAAGAAAAAAGGTGTGAACTCAAGAGGTTGTTTGGTGGCAAAAATGGTGACCAGAGTTGTGAGTTAATGGTACAGGATGGACAATCTGGATCTATTATTTCTGTTGGAGAAATTCAACCCGATCAAGAATAACTCCACATAGTGATTCACCAAATGTCTGTCAAGATTAAGATCAATACTGAGCATCACGCTTGTCTCCAGGATCCCACAGAAATGGACAAAATAGATGCATGCCAGTATACAGATACCTTTTTGCCTACTCCTGTACAAAGCACTCATATGTGTAATTGATGGGAGGTTCAAAGGTCAGGGAAGGAAACTGCAGTCCTAGCACAGAGATGGTCTGGGAGTCACTGGGGTAGAAAGGGATCCCACCTGGGCTCCTGAGGTCTGAACACAGCGGCCCCTAAGAAGGAAAGCAATTTCATGTCAATGCACCATGCCTTGGGAGAACCTGCCCGGTCCTTATTCCAACTGATCTGCATGGCATGCTAAAGTGACCACCATGAGGTGGGCAGCTCTTCTCCATCATGCCCCTGTCCATGCCGTCCTACCTTGGAGACAGCGAGCCATGGACTAAACCTCCACAAACTGTGAGCCAAAATAAAACTCTCCTCTTTTAAATTGTGGGTGCTGGGAATCGTGTCCCAGCAACAAGGAAAGTGACTAAGACAATGGTCAAGCCCCTTCATTTCATAGTCCCTGCTTTACAGGCCATTTTCTATGGCTATAACAAAACACCTAAGATTGGCTAATGCACAAAGAAAAGAAGTTCATTTAGCTCACGGTTTTGAAGAATGAAAGGCCAGGATTGAGTGGCCCCATCACTCAGCCTCTAGACATGGCAGATTCCAGCATGGCAGGTCCACATGAGGACAGTGGTAAGGTGAGACTCAAGAAGGGCTGACCTTGTGCTTTTTCATCAACCCACTCTCCTGGGAATCATTGCTCCCCCCACAAGAACAGCATCAATCCCCCCATGGCAGTGGTTTTTGGGCCTCAGTCACCTTCCACTGGGCCCTACATCTCCACACCAACAACCAACCGCCCAGCACCCAAACCTTTAGGGGACATCCTCAAGCCACAGCAGTCCCATGGGTGATGCTGTAAGTGGAGCTTCTGCTTGGTCAGGCATCTCATTCCAAAGGCCATGCTCACTGTCGGGAACCCAGCCAAGCTTGCCAGGAGATGACGTTTCCCCCAAGTAGCCCCACAAAGGCAGGCAAGAGTGGGAGCCATAGGAATGTGGACCTCTGTGCACATTCTTTTTTTCTTTGGCAGTACTTAGGATTGAACTCAGGGAATGCAGAGCCACATCCCCAAACTTTTTATTCTACTTTGAGACAGAATCTCACTGAGTAGCTCAGGCTGCCCTCCAGCTTTCGATCCTCCTGCCTCAGCCCCACAAGCAGCTGGGATTATAGCCCTGCACCACTGCCCCCAGCCCGTGCATCCTTTATGTCCTTGGACTCCACAGTGCATGCAGGGCATCCGAGGTCACCAACTCTCTAACCACACCCAGGAGCCGCACTCTTCCCCAGGCCCGTGTCTCCTGAGAACTGGGTGCCAAAGCCCCGGCCCCTGTCACCCCTGTCCACAGGTATCCGCATGCTGGACCAGCCCTTCATGACCGACGTCATCGAGGCCTCCTCCATCAGCCACATGCCCCAACTCATCGATATCTACAGCGCCAGCTGGGGCCCCACAGACAATGGCAAGACAGTGGACGGTCCCCGAGAGCTCACGCTGCAGGCCATGGCCGACGGTGTGAACAAGGTAAAGAAGTCCTTGCCGCTACTGGCCCTGGCCACTCACAAGGTGGGACCGGGTTGGGGGAGCTGTGGTGGCCACACTGTGGATAGAGGCAGGAACCGGCAGAGGGCTGTGAAGCATAAAGCTGGGCAGCACACAGGACCTGACCCTGTGCAGAGGCAAGGGGAGAAGGGACAGCCAGGAGGAAGCAGTGTCAGCCCACAGGGAGCGGGGACCTGGGGGCCACAGCCAGGAGTGCGGCTCCACTGGGAAATGGGGTTCTCTTGGAACAGCTTTCAGCCCACATGGAAAAGTACTTTTCCCACTGCAGAATTCCTTCAAAGACCTGAAGGGAAACAAAAGACTCTGTGCTCCTCTTCTGTCATGGGGTCAAATTCTGTACCCAGATATTCACCCCAGTACCGAGTCTTAGCCCGCAGTACATCAGATGGTAACCTCGTTTGGAAAGAAAGTCACTGCAGCCGTAATTAGCTAAGTGAAGCCGTTAATGGAGTGTGAGCCACTATGATTAATACCCTCACCCGCTGTCCATAGCCTAATCCAGTGTGACCAGTACCCTTATTTCTAAAGAAAATCAGTGAACTAGGTCACAGAAGGCCATGTGGGGATGGAGGCACAGATCACGTGAAACATGTGCCAGCCAAGGAATGTGGAAGATGTCACCAAAGCTGAAGTGGCGTGGGACAGAGGGGCCCTGTTGGCATGCCGGTCCCCAGTGCTGGCCCAAGAACCTCACAGCAGCTCATTCCTGGTGTCTGCACCACCGAGTTTGTGGCTCTGTACTCTGGTGACCCTGAAGAGCTAATATGTCCTTACCATCTTAGGACAGACAGGCAGCCTCCAGCACCGTGGAAATGGTCTGGTCACTACTCAGGGTCAACTGGATGTCACCTGGCTTTCTCTTTAAAGCCAGGATGGTTGACCAGTTGACCTAGTGCCAGCTCTTTCCCCTGTCCTTCAGGGCCTGCCTCTGTGTCTGACCTAGTTCTCTCCAAGGAGCCTCATCCAAAGATCTCGTGTTGCAACCCTAGGAGAGAAGGGTGTCCCTGAGTTAGGGACAATGCCATTCTGGAAATGGCTCTTGGTGACATCACCCTGGCACCTTGAGGTTAGACACAGGAATTGGCAAACTGCACAAGTAAAACAGAGCTAGGCTCCATCAGAGAACTTCACAGCATGGCTTGGCTCCCCTCAAACTACTGTGCACATGTCCTGCTGCTGGCGAGGCCACCTGGCCTTCCTGGGACTGGGAATTCCCTTTGGGAAGTGGGAGGAAAATTGCCAGAAACTCCAAGGCTTAAATTTCCCCAAAATGACAAGTTTCCCATCCAGTTCTAAATTTCCCCAAGATGGCGGAGGAATTCTGTGAGTCAAGACCTTGTACCTTAGGACAGCCACCTCTCATGCCTTCCATCAAGGGCCTCAGAAACACATCTGGGAATGGCAAAGAGTCCTTGGAGTGGACGGAATCAGGTCCTCAGAGGAGCACTCACGGCTATGCCTGGACAGAGCCTGCTAAGGAAATAACATCGTGGGGTGTTATCCCAAGCCCATCCAAGCCAGCCTGGGAGCGACACCGGGCAGCGCACAAGGGACAGCTACCAATGAATGGTCAGGCGACAGGAAGTGTTGCTGTTGCCCCTTCCAATGCCTGAACTCCATAGGGAGTGTCTAGGTTGGAATCTTTGACACACAGGCGGCTCATCCCCTTGACTCACCATTCCCTGTGGGGCTGGAGAGATGAGATGACAGCCCAGGCGCAGGACCAGGTGACAGGAGTGCTCTGGGGAGCAGGCGGCAGATGCCTCCTCTCCCTGAAGACATGGATTTTCACTGCCAGGCATTTCTCTGTCATCTAAAGACGTAAGAGGCTCAGGCACAATGTACCCTGTACTCTGTCCGCATTTACAATGCAGAGACGTAAGGCAGAGCATCCCTGTGTGGCTCCCATCATTTTCCACAGCTTCTGAATGTCCCCACCACATGGCCAAGCTGGTGCTGTATTCTTCTCTGCTCCATCCACAGCCTCCCTGGCTGCCACTAAAATGTGATTCTTCTGCAGCGCATGCCAAGCACGTTGAAATTTAAGAGGAAAATTGTTATGACTGATCTTCAGACGACAGCCTGTAAATATTTTAGAAAGGAAAGTGCTCCTGATGAAAAATACATGAATTCTCATTCAGCTTCTCCCTGAGTTGTGGGAATGAGTCCTTCCTTGTTTCAGAGTGACACTTTTCGGACAGTATTGTAAAATCTTGCTCACAGTGTGTCACTCGTGAGCAAAGATTTCCTCAGGATTGTTCCAGCTGCTTCATCAGCACTAAAGAGAAAGCCGCATCTGAAATGTAGTCCAACCTAAACAAAGGCATCTGTAACGGATGTCACACAGAGGCACCTCTTCTGCCTGTCGCTCAGTCTTAGCATCCTGTCCTGTGTTTTATTTGATCAATATGGCAGCAAGAGAAAGGAAGAGGAAAAGGGCGAGGAGGGGAAGAGACCTTTGCAGGGGACACACTGTTAGCCTAGACCCCGGGATCCCCAGTTGCCTGGCCTGCCTCACACTAAACACCACCTGCCTGGCTCCTTAGAGATCTAAGTTCCTATCTCCCAGGAATGCTCAATAAATTCTTGGAGGAAGCAGCAAGCAGCAAGCAGCAAGCAGCAAGTGCGAAGGAAGGAAAGAAGGAAATCTTTTTCCCCTTCCCTCATGGCAGAACTTTCCTCTTTAATTTAGTAGTCTACATGCTGGGTTTCCCACTGAAGCATCTTTCACATTAGAAACGGGAAGTGGAGAGACAGACTTGTGAATGGTTGGACGGCCCAGTGGTTCACTTCCATCTCACTTTGGGGTCTCCCAGAAACAGTCTGTGGCAAGGGTTCCAGATAAAAGCCATTGGCGGACATTTGTTCCCCAAGAGTGTGGGACAGCCTTAGGGAAGAGGCCCCGGGACACAGTGATGCACATGCTAAGATTCGGACATGCTCATGCAAGAGGGTCTAAGGCCCAAGGACATGGCTGATGCCCACTGCTGGCTCCAATGCAGTTTGAGCAAATCCCAGTCAGAGACTGAGAGTCACCCTCTCCGGGATAAAGCACCAGCACGGTGTGTGTCTGCTGTCCGGGAAAGGATGGGACCCTTGCAGACAGACTGATGGGACAGCAAAGTCAAGCCGCTGCGGGACTCAGTTGCTTACTTCGGAACTTCTTGCTTTGCTGGAACAGCACTGGGAACCTGAGAGGTGACACATGACTCGAAGTCCCCTCACATCCGCAGGAAACACAGCTACCCTGATGGCTCTGACGACAGCACCCCAGCCCCTGATTCCTCCTTTTCCGGGTCTCTCCTGCTGGGAAAAGCTTAGGAATGAAAACCAGTCTACAAGAAACCCCCTGAAGTGCAGATGGGAGTGAACATGAGTCGTTTCTTCTTCAGGAGGCGATGGGTTGCGAAGGACACAAGCAGGGACTCCAGGTCGCTGGGCTGGGACGTGCAGAAGCGGCCTCTTGTCAGAGAAGGGCCCTGGAAGCCACCATCCAGGAAGGAGGGGCATAGGGCTGCCAGGGAGACAGTGATTAATCATGCCTGGGCCAGGTGAGGACCCCCTGCCACCTGCTAAAATTTAATCAGTGCGTGGGTCGGACACGGGGCAGCGGGTGCCAGGGCCTCGAGCAGGTGACGAAGGCCTCCTGCCAGGGAGCGCACAGGGATACTTGTAAGCCCTGATTTATGCTCTGCAGCCAGTTGAAGGTTCACAGGCGCTGCCACAGCATGGGGTCTGCAGCTCAGCCACTGAGACAGCTGCTGCCGGTTCAATTCCACTTTTCATTTCTGTCCTGAGGGGAGATGGAAGAAAGGCTCGAGTGACCTTCCTGAGGCTCAACCAGCCTTCACTGACCAGGGTGGGATTCTACAGGGCAAAGCCTCTTCTATTGCTTCCTTCACTTAGTAATATGCATTGGAAGTTCCTCCATGTTTTTTCATGATTTGAGAGACCTTTCTCTCCAACGCTGAACACCAGTCCGTCACCTCTGCACACCATTCGCCCGTGAGGGCATGCTGGTTGATTCTGGTTCCCGGCCGTCGTGAGTAAGGCTGTGCAAAACACCCATGTGCCAGTGCTGTGCAAATATAAATCGCCAACACTTATGCATATGTGCCAAGGAGCACACCTTCTGGATCCTAGGGTACAAGAATATTCAGTTCCCTAAGAAACTGCTAAGCTGCCTTCCAAAGCAGCTGGGCCACTGTGCGTTCACTTGCACCAGCAATGAACAGGAGAGGGTTCCTTCTGCCTGACACCCTTGCCCACAGGGACTGTTTTCAGGTCCTGGGTTTGGGCCAGTTTATGTTGGGGGGGAGGGTCACCTTGTTTTAATTCACATTTCCCTGCTAGCCAAAGATGTGAAGCAGGGTTTCATGTGCTCGTTTGCCATCTGCCTATCTTTCACAGCGAAGTGTTGTTCCAAAGCTCCTACACACTGATGAAAAGAAGAATCTCATAAATGAAAAAATGATCACAGGAAATCCTCTCTGGGGACCTGAAGCCGTGCTCAGGTATTCTCGAGGCAGGAATCGAAGTATGAGACTGAGACAAAAAAAGATTCAACTTAACCTGTAGTGAGGAAGTCACATCATGGAAACTGAGGTCCTATTTTTGTTCAGCAAATTAGTAAAACTCTTTTTTAAAAAAATAGTAATTCTTGCTGTGAGTGTGGTGGCGCACGCCTGTAATCCCAGCACCCAGGAGGCTGAGGCAGGAGGATCGTTGTGAGTTCAAGGTGAGCCTGGGCTACAAAGTGAGCTCAAGGCCAGCCTGAACTGCGTAGCGAGACCTTGTCTCAAAAAATAATAATAATAATAATAATAATTCTTAAATCCTGTCCAAATGGACTGACAATGGAGTTTTGTGCATTTCTGATGAGAATATAAATTCTAAGGATCTTTGTAAAGGGTGATAATACGGCAGTGTAGATTTTCATCTAAAATTCCCTCTTTTGGAATTTCTGCCTCAGGAGATAAACAAGAATGAAAAGACATGTATAAAATTATGGTCATTTTAAACATAAAGCAGATTTTAAGACCCAGAAATAGCCTTCCACGTATACCTAAAAAAATGAGGAAATAAATGATGCAATGTCTACTTGATAAAACTGAAAACAGCTATGATGCAAAAGAGTATTAACTCCATGAGAAAATGTTAATTACCTAATGCTGAGTGAGAAACACATTTCAGCAGGCCAGGTAAAGTGGATATATTTTCTGATGCTAAATTCATTTTTAAGCCTGTTCTTAACTTCTGCATTTATACATAAAGCTGGCATGAATCCACAAAATGGCACTAGAGATCATTTCTTCATGGAAGGTTATAAAAGATTTTTATTTTCTTCTTCATTCTATTATTTATTATGATGTTCATAATAAAGAATAAAATAACTTATTTTAAAGAATATCAATGTTGCATTAAGATGCCTAAGTGGTCAGAAGATAAAAATTAGGGTGACTGAGTGTTTAGGAAAGGAAGCTGTCGCAGCCTTCCACCAGGTATGCACACACCTGAGTCCCCAGGCCACAGGGCCTATTCTGGTCATTAACTGGGTCACCACCCCATGGTTAGCAAGTATAGGGAGCCCTTCCCCACCCTCATCACAGCCCAAGAAATTTATGTTTGCAATCCCATGGAAAAGTTATTGGAATTCTAGAGAGTTAATTCTAATCTATCACTTCCAGTGCAATCCATGGTGAGAATAAAGACACTAAGGCAAATTTGTAGTTATCGAGAGCCAAGGGGTCCTAAGCCCAGCTAGGGTGATGGCTAACTGAAACAAAGGCCTCAACCTAGGCCGAACCCAGGTTTTATTCATTCATGAAGAAGGGGGTGGCTTGAGGATGAGTGACTGTGAGAAGGGCAGGAAGTACACAAGTGCCATGAGCTGGGCTAGGTAGGAGGCCTGAAATCGCCTCTGCAATATGCAGGGAGAAGGAGATGCAGGAAGAGTAATCTGCATGACACAACTGAGTAGTTGTGTCTAATGTTTCGGGGTCAGTGCTTCAGCTCTGATGTGTAATCTTTTATGTCCTGGGAGCTCTCGAGGCTCAATCCCAGCTGACAGCATGGAGCGTGTGGAGCACGGCTCTCCGTTCCGCCTCAGTGCACACAATGTTTTCTGGGGAGCTAGGGGACGGGGAAACACTGCCTGTCATCTTTGCTTCAAAGACTACACATCAGCACCTCGGCTGGACCAATTTGCACTGCTTAATGACGACTGAAGGGATAAGGAAAAGTCCTAGCCAGCTCTGCACACATCAGTACAAGGAAATAAGGCCAGGTTCAGCCAAAATGGAGACAATCGCTCCTCCCTCAAAGACAGTAGCCTGGGTGCTCCTCCACAAGCAAGGAGACGCTAACTCCTCCGAGGTGGAGGCAATGTGCTAGAGGTGCAGGGAGCCCCAAGACTGGAGTCAAGCTGGAACTTGGCCTCAGCTCATGGTGAGCGATCTGTAACATAATTTTCCATAAGGAGAAAAATCCAAAATCTGCATGAATTTTTAAGTTATGGGTTTGTGAGAGCTACTTTGGTTACACCCAGAAAATGCTCCGTGACTGGCAAAAGCCCTGTGCTGCTGGTATTGGGCAGGGGAGTTCACTGGTGCAGAGGACACCTGCAGACACTGTAAAGGTTTAGCAGCATTCTTGGCCTCTGCCCCCACGATTCTGATCACACACAGAGTTGTGATGACCAAAATTATCTTCCTGGGGGCAAAAATCACCCCAGTTGAAACTCGTGGTGGTCAAATACCATCAATAGCACCTCCATGTACATACACAAGGCCCTGGGGTTGATCCCCAAAACTGCAAAAGAGGCAGGAGAAAAGTAAAAGAGAAAGACAACCTGGATTTGAAGAGCACAGACGGTCAGACAGCCCACAGAGCCCACCCCGCAACCCAGGTCCCTCTCTGGTCACCAGCTCCGGCCACCTCTCCAAGGTCTCAGAGAGTCCCCAATCTCTGCGCCATCTCCCACATCCCATCTGGGTTGTGAGTCTTCTTTATCACTTGTTCCTGGATAAACTCCTGCTGTTCAACTGCCCAATGTGGAGACACTGGCATGACTGAGTCACAGCTGATACATGCACTGGGATCACGTTTAATCTATCAGTCAGTACGGGGGGAAACTGATGTGTCTGGGTGCTGTCTTTCCAGCATAGAAGCTGTCTTTCCATGCAGTCAAGTCTTCCTCTGTCCCTCCGAGGACTTTCAAAATCTCATTAACACTTAGTTTGGGGGAGTCTTGTTTATTTGGCTTCGTTTTCTGAAGTGTGAATTTTCTTCCCGTTTCCTCCTTTGTGTGGCTGCTGTAAACAGTGGTGCTATGAGGACTGAATGGGGGAGTGTGCAATGCAGTAGGTGCCACAAGTGTGCAAGACCATCATCCTCAGTTTCTTCCACGCTGTCCCCACCTGAGCCTCCTTGGCCTCTGGGTCCCAGATGTTCTCACAGGTTTCTGCCCTACTCCTGTTCAGGTGACGATGGGACACAGCTGGATGTAAAGGCATTGTTTTAACAGGAGTATGTGGCACGAGAGAAAAAGCCCCACCCCAGGAAGCTCTCAGTCCTTTGCAGAGACCCTGCCCCACTCATCTCTGCCCTACCACTAGCATTTTCTCCTTACTGGACCTTCCTACAGAGAGGTTAAAGACCCTTGGGTGCTGAAACCAAATCCAGTCCTTATAATTATTGCTTCATGTGTTCCATTTGTATAATGAAGCCCAGTATCCCTGGAAACAGTATTCAGTGCGGAAGTCTTTGGGGCAACACAAAACTCTCAGAATGGAGCTGACAGTGGCTCTCTGTGTATCAGTGAGCTAGGCAGCATCACAAACTGCCCCAAGCTTCAGCAGCTTAAAAAGCCACCATTTAATTTTGCCCACAGGTCCATGAGTCACCTGGGTTGTTCTGCTGAGCTGAACCAGCCTGGCCTGAACACAGTTGGCCTCACTCGCCTTATCTGTGGTCAGCTGGAGGGCATGGCCGAGGGCTGCTCCTGCATGGAGGGTCGGCATGTTAGGCCGGGCTACGTGTCCAGCGTCAGCCGGCAGGGAACCTCAGACTCGCTGTCACAGGACAGCAGCCTCTGAGAGATCAGAGCAGGCCGGTTTCCTGAGACTCGGGCTTGGGATCCTGCACAGTCACTTCCCACCACGCCGACTGTGGAGGTGACATTTTCACTCTATCCTGAGCTCTGACAGTAGCTGCTGCTGCCAGAGCTTGTCAGTAATATAGATTTACTGTGAAGCTAGGACCATGCCCAGCTGGTGCCTGGGTAGCACTTGTTGATTTATCGACTCCATGGATCTCAGGCTAATTGACTCCCAGTCTTGTTAGCAGCAATTTTGGATGCCGCTTCTTGTCATTAGGAGGCAGCAGGACCTGGGGGTCACTCATCATCTCTCTTCTTTCTATCATCTCCATCACAAACCACTCAGTCGGGACCATGGGCGCCAGCAGCCAGGCAGGACGGCCTCTCCCTGCCAGTGTCCTCGTGTCTTCAGGCTTCCAAGGAGTTGGTGTTGCCATTGCTCCCCTGTTGTACACCCCACACCCCAAGCCTCACTGCCTCCCAGGTAGGAGAGGAAGAGGCCAGAGGCAGATGGCCCCATCCTGATTCTCACTGTAGACAAGGGAAGGCTCCCCTGGGACAAGAAAGGAAAGTGGAAAGGTAAAAGCTGTAAGAACGAGGTGACACACAGACAATGCTAAGTGTGGTGTTCGGGACAAAGCTCGCCACCCGGAGCTGGGCACCGTGTGGTGAGGGACCACCATGCACACCGCTAAGTGTTGAACACTCGGGCTGCTGTCTGTGCTCCCCGATCCTGTTAGACTTCCTGGCTATGTGTGGCCTGCCCTGCACAGGTGAAATGTCATCTAATACTGTGTTTCACAGGAGTTTAGTACATGACCCAGCTGGATAAAAAAGAAAAAACTATGTATCTATACACACCTATAAGTAAGATTTTATATATTTTTACTTATATTTATGTATTTGTTCATATATTTTGGAGCAAAAAAATTTATGTGTCATATTTACAATATCTACATATATATAAACATATATATCATATATAGCTAAGTACAAATATATACGTAGACTTTTATTTTTGCTGAAACTGATATATAAGAATGAGATCATAGTATTTATTCAATAATCTCTAGATTTATCTTTCATTTTCCTTTCTATATACTTTGATTTTTTTTTTTACTATAAGCATGTGCTATTCCACACCCTTTTTGAAAAGTGACTCATTTGTAAATTTTAAGGGCATTCTTTCGGTTTTTCTTACCTCATTATTCCCAGCTTAAATTGTAAACCCAGGTGATTTTTTTATGTTGGGTCCATCCTGAAAAAAAACCACCCACTGTGCCCCCATGGAAAGCATATGATTTCTCTTCCAATAAAAAACAAATCCAGCCATTTTTAGTTCAGTTGCTGAAGAAGCCCAAATTATGACCTTCTCTAGACAGAGCCACACCTGGGATGAGAAAGTTAAAACCCCTGACTGAGACAGGATGCACCTGGGCTGCAGACCACCCCCAGGACCGCACTGGGGAGGGCCCCTCCCCCAAAGACCTCACCTGGGAAGGGCCCCTCCCCCCAGGACCTCACCTGGGCTGGGACCCCCGGGCTCCCCTACGCTCGGCTCAGCAGCAGCACCTCCCTGCTGTCCAGGGCCGCGGGGGCAAGGGCAGCATCTACGTGTGGGCCTCTGGGGACGGCGGCAGCTATGATGACTGCAACTGTGACGGCTACGCCTCGAGCATGTGGACCATCTCCATCAACTCAGCCATCAATGACGGCAGGACAGCACTGTACGACGAGAGCTGCTCGTCCACCTTGGCATCCACCTTCAGCAACGGGCGCAAGAAGAACCCTGAGGCGGGCGTGGTGAGCATGGGCTCCCTGGCCCCTTCCCTGGTGGCCAGGCCCTGTGGGGGGTGATATGCAGCTCCCTTCCCTTCTCAGAGTTAGGCAGGCTCAGAGGACCCACTGTCCCAAAGCCTGGTGACACTTTGTGACCACGTGGAGACTGACACCTGCCAGCCGAAGCAAGGGCCACTACCGCCTCTTCTCAGCTCAGTTTCTGGCCAGTTTTTGTGCATTGCTTTGACTCAGAGTGAGGAGCCTGCTCTAGCAACCAATTGCCCCAGCGTGCGACTTAGAAGAATAAAACTTTGCCTGAGTTAGGACGTCACACCAGCACCCTTCAGCCAAGACCCACCCTCATAGGGCAGTGACTAAAACACAGTATCCCCAGATGAGTGTCTGTAGGTCTTGAAACCCCCTAAAGCTGGACACAGCTGTGTGTCTTCCTCAGGGAAAGAGCCGTGACCCTCCTCATGTTTTAAAAATCTATTCATGGTTTTAACAATGAAAAAGTTAAGAATCACAGACTTGGGTTATGATTCTATGATTTCCTAAGCCAAACGCCTTCCATGGGCAACCAGGTATCATGGAGATTCCTGTTTCCAAGCCACTTATAAAGTTGATCATCTGGAGCTAGCACGAAGCCTGTAGCTCTGCCCACACCTCCACTCCTGGGAAGGCTGGCAGCATCAGCCATCTATCTGACAGAGGAGCCAGGCCCTCTCTCCCTACCAGGGCAGGCAGGGAGAAGGCAGGGAGGGTCGCCCAGCTCCTGACACCTTGCTCCTCCCACTAACAGCCACTCCCCCCTGGCCACCACTCCTCACCCATGGGTGTGACGTCTCCATCTATGGCTCCCTCTACTCAGGCTGGGGAGGAGCCTTGAATTTCTTCTGAGGATTTAGATTTGCCCCATAGACACTTCTAAACCTCCCTAACTCTGTTCCTCAAGTATAGGCTCCCTTGAGCACTTACAACAGAGGAGAAGGCAGATTCATGAAGCCCCTAGGTCTTACAAACACTCAAAATGAACGTTTTCTTTTTGGAGTCCCAGTGCAACGAATATCACTACTGCCTTAATGAGGTGGAGGTAAAACTCGTTACTTTCCACCTCATATTTCTTCCTTTTCAGATTCAGGAAATAAATCCCTCTCATCTCTAATCAAAGAATACATCTGCTTCTTAGAACAACAGAGTTAACTTTGGACACTATAATGATAATCGATTATGTATCCCTTTTTTAATGGGCTGCTAGGAAGCTCATACAAGAGATAGGTTACACAGATGCTAATCTTATCCTTGGTTTCATCTTAATCTTCCTCAGAACAAGGCATAGTTTAAATACAATAAGTAGACGATCCTGTGCTTCACATTGTTTGGGTATGCAAAATACTGTGATTTATTCATTCATGAGTCAATGTCTTCCCTTCCAGGCCACCACAGATCTGTACGGGAACTGCACCCTGCGGCATTCTGGGACATCAGCAGCAGCTCCTGAGGCAGCTGGGGTGTTCGCACTGGCTTTGGAAGCCAAGTATGTTTACAGCTCAGGGGCCTGAAGGGTAATGTGACAGCTTGGGAGAGTCATGAGCTCTACAGGATATTTCTAACTGGCCCACGGGACCCACGCCACACACACACACAAACACACACCTACCGTAAAACTACTTCCTTAGAAGACTGCATGTGTCAGCAGCTCCTTCAGACACCAAATAGGGGCCCAGCGATCTCTCTTTCTTCCCCCTTTATCCTCTTCCGCACTCCTTGGCTCTTTCTCTGCCAGCACTATTCACAATCAGATAAGCGAGAAAACATCCTAGCGCAAAGCTAGCAAGGCCTTTCAGAACATTTGGCAAACAGGATGTGCTCACTTCAGATCTGCTCATTTGTAAGGTTATTTCTTAGGTTATTTCACTTCTGTTTCTTCCTTTTTATTTTTCCCACATTTTTTATTAGTGCATATTGGCTAGACAGGTAACGGGTTGCACTTTGGCAGGTTTGTACATGCACATGATATGCTTTAATAGTTCCCATCAGCCTTCCACTCACCCACCGCCCAGTTCCACATGGTTTTTTATAGGGGCTTTGTGTGTATAATGCATTTTGATCACACTCATGCTTCCTAGTACCCAGCCTGTGTTCGCTTCTTAACACCGCGACAAGCTGGGGGAAGTCACGTGATCTAGACGAGAGGTGGGTTTTCCTGGGAAGATAAGGCCATTCCCTGAGTCTTGTCTCCCTCAGAGAGGACACTTTGGCTCCTGCCAGACACACCTTGGACTGAGTGTTGGTGCAGCCACCTGCACACTGCTGCACAGGTCCCTCAGCGAAGCCAGCGACTCACCTTGCATTCAAGGGATGAACACTTGGGCTTGGGACATGGCGCACATGCTGTGATTGTCACCACTAGGCAACTGCACGTCTGGCGTCCATCTGCAGGCAGCCCTGCTTGTTCCACCCCAAGCACGCAGTTCATGTTCTGATTTAAAAAAGAGGCAAGAGTCACCTCCTAGAATAGGAAGGGACTTTGGAAGACTACCCAGTCCAGCACTCTGGCTTCGAGCACTCAGACATAATTAGTCTCCTCTGGTAGATAAGAGCCCTTGATGCCAGTCAAGACTTTGATGATTCTAGCAAAGCCAGGTGGAACATTGAAGACACCAAGAGAGGAACACTAGCCACAGCTCACCCATTAAGGATAAATATGCCTGCCCTATGAAGAACAGAAACGAAAGCCTCCCTGTGATGTACATTTCCTGTAGATGGACTTGTTCATCTCAGGCCTGAGCAGGCTCTGGTGTCTGAACAGGTCTCACTTACTCCAGGTACAAGCACAAACGGGACTTCCCTTTCACCCTCAGCAGGCAGCACTTGATGGGCAGTCCCCTGGGAGTCTGACAAGAAAAAAGTCACTTGCCCAGGCTGCTGGATTCTTAAGGAGATTCATGGTTCTGCACTGATTATTCACCATGCCTTCAGCACACATGCACTAACACACATTTGCTTTCCAAGAAACCCTGCCCAGTGGCTTCTTATTTCTTATTGGCTGGAACTGTCACGTGACCACCTCACACTGCAAAGGAAGCTGGGAAATACAATTTTATAGCTGAGCATATTGCTCTTCTGGATAAACTGAGGTATTGCTAATAAGGAAGGAAAGAAGCTTAAGTACTAAAGGAAGGAAAGAAGTGTCTAACTGGGCAACAACCCAGCTTTTCTGAGTCTCTATTGTATTATCTGTAAAACATTGACAGTTGTATTGTCCATCAGGTTCAAATGACTTCTTGGAATTTTGCAGCTCTGCTCCAGGATTATCACTTCTTTAGGATAAATTTTAATTTTAAAAAAAGGATAAATTTTAAGTATGACTATATCTTAAAAACAAAAAAAGTTTATTTATATAATTTTAAATATTATAACTACACTGGGCATGGTGATGCATGCCTATAATCCCCACAATCTGGGGACTATGGTAGGAAGATCACAAGTTTGAAGCCAGCCTGTGATATAAAGTGAGACCCTGTCTCAAAAAAAAGAAAAAATATAACCAATGCTTTCTTTGGGAAATAGTGTACATTCTCTTCTAACTTACTTCAATTCCCAGTACATGAGATTGACTTTACTATTGATATCAATAAACTGTTTATGGAGTGCCCACCCTGCACTCTGTACTTTACATATGTGATCTACACTTAGCCCTGAAGCAAACCTATAAAACCAGTGAGCTCTGCATGGGTTGAAATCTTATCAGATGAGTTATATTGTTCCTGGTCCTTCAAACTGTTTGATTTCCAAAGAGAATAGTCAGTCAGAGTTTTGCCAATTTTTTCATCCTGCCCCCTCAATGAGAAATAAACTCTGCATTGAAGCTCAGTGAAGATATGTGCACATCCTCCATGTTACCAATGCAAAGGCTGGAGGTCACGATGTTAAAACAATGGTCCAAGTTCACTGGGTTGGATGTGAACACTACTATGGCCAGGCCCCAGGGCTGGGATCTTTTCTCAGCCCAACCATTGGACCTAGAAGAGACACTGCCACCACGGAATCAAAAGCAAGCCCATAGCATGCAGACCTCTGGGTCCTGCCATGATTATGTCTTTAACTGTCCCAAGATGGTTCCAATGTGTAGCCAAGGTTGAAAGCCACAGTCTTAGACCAATGCTCTCAAGGTCAGCATACAGAGGAAACAGCTTGGCAGGGGTCTGACTATAAATTCTCAGAGCCACATGCACCTGGGTGTTGGCTTAGGAGGACTGGGAATGTGGCATGCATCATGGGAGCCTTGAGGACCACGATGAGGCCCCATTGAGCTCCCTCGGCCATCTGAGTTCTCCCACCATCCTCTCATGTTCTCAGTACAGAGCTGCCCCCTGTCCCTTAGGCTACAGACTCTGCACAGGTAGGACCTCCTTGTGACGTTCTCAGAATGAGGGTGGGGGACACACAAGAGACTTCTCAGAATTCTTTCACACGCAGCACCTGTCACAGGCTGTGTCTCAGTTTCCCAGCTGTTGTGTAAAACGCTGGAGAACAGGGAAGAACACCTCGCATTACTTGCCTTACCAGCTCTAACACAGTGACCTTGATACTGCAGATTCTCTACATGTGTGTTTCATTACTTAACAACTGCCTGTGAGCCTAGGCAATGTGGTCGTGTTAAGGCCTAACGCAGGTTGGTGAAATACCCACTTTTGCAGATTGGTGTATTCCGTCCATTCTTAAGTTGCTTGGAAGGGGCAATTAGGAAGGACCCAATTTTACTTTTCAGACTTATGCAAGTGGCCAGCCAAACAGTGTCACCTAGGGACCCTGTGGTAGAAGCTACACTCTGATTTCACCCTCCTGCTAGCCAGCCCTTGGGTCATTTAGATCCCCACGTGTCCACACCTTTGGGATTATAGATTCATGACCCCATTCCAGCAGAGCAGCATGCTTGTGGTCATAATCAGCTTCCAGGAGGTTCACACCATGCTCTCAGGTCCTTGGGGGACCGTATGTCCCAGATACATTGTGAACAGCCTCAAACAAGCACTGGCCTTCCTTCGACCTCTCTCCTTAAGGTCTGTGTTTCCAGTGCCTGTGGATCACTGGGACAGTGTCTACGATTCACAGCTTCAAACCAATGAACTCTGCACAGGTTGAAATTTTATCAAGTGAGTTATATTGTACCAAGTCCTTCAAATTGTATGACTTCTGAAAAGAACAGCAATTCAGGGTTTTGCCAGTTTTTTCTCCATTCCCCTCAGTGAGAGATAAACTCTGCATTGAAGCCCAACACACACATGTACATGCACACCTGAGTCTCATGAGAAAATATCGAAGCAGAATACTACACACAATGCCCCGTTATTACTTCCTATTCCATTTCATCTTTTTAATAATAGTTATAAAATCACTGGTTCTCAACCTTGCCTGCCTACTGGGATGATCTGGGAAATGTTAATCATTTCCAATAGCGAGGTCTCACTCCCTGAGGTCCTGATTTAATTGGTCTGGAGGTGGCAGAAACGGAGGGATTTTCTGTCCCCACCCCAAGAAGATTTTAATGAGCAGCCCAGACAGGTGCCCAGAGCAATGTGTTCGTGCCTCAGCCCACAAATGAGCCATAACATGCTGTTTGGAAACCAATCACCAAGGAGTCACAGACTCTAGATTCCAGGACAAGAGCCTTGGCAAGCAGGCTGGTTTGTGCTGAGGACCGGCCGGGGCTCTGGGGATGTAATGATGTTGAGGATGTCACCTTTACCCTTGAAGGCAACAGTGTCATTTTCAAAAACAGAGCAGACCCAGGTAGGTAGCACCCAAGTCAGGAAGCAAACTCTGGCAGCACTCAAAAGCCCCAAGGTCTCCTTCTAATCATGAGTCCTACAGCAAACCATGAGCCCAGCTCTCAATCACATGGACTCCTTGTTCCTGTTTTTAAACTTTACGCCAATGGAATCAGACAGGGTCTTCTCTGGTTCTGGCCCCTTCTCCTTGCTGTAACAAAACACCTGATGCTAGATACTTAGTAAAGATAAACAGTTTATTTAGCTCAAGGTTGTGAAGGCTGAAAGTCTAGGACTAGGCAGCATCCTCAGTTTGGCCCCTTTGGCTAGGTTGAGTCACAGCAGATGGCATCATGGTAGCCATGCAGGTGACAGGGAGCAGGCGCACAGCAGGACCACAAGTGGGGGGGGGTCTTGCACTTTTGTAACAGTCCTCTCTTGGGGACTAACTTGGGTCCCCCAAGGATGTCATAATTCCTCTGGAAGGCAGTGTCCACGGGGACCCTATCATCTCCCCATTTCCACCAGTTAAACCTTCCACCGTCTCCCTACATGGCAACCCTGGAGCCAAGCTTCCAATGCAGGCACCCCTGGGGGACACTCATCCCACGTCCACACCACAGCCTGCCCTTCTCCATCCAGCTTCTGTAGCCCGATATCGTAGTTGTAGGATTTGTCGATATTACTTGGGATAAATATAGTTTTTCATTCTCATCGCTTCCTAGAATCCCACATTCTCTAAGTTGCCCCTCGTGTGGTTTATTCCTTCGACTGTGGGTGATATGTGCAGCTTTGCAGATTGCGGCTTTGCACATGTCTGGTAAAGGCCAGATACAGATCCAGGAATGAATTTCTAGGCTGTGGACTCAGCCTATGGAAAACTAGATGATGCAGCTGGTAGTCCAGAGCGGCTGCAGTTATTCACACACCATCGACAAAGTCCAGGGGCCCCAGCTGCTCTGCATTTTTGTCAACACTTGGTGTTGCCAGTCTTCATTTGAGCCATTCTGTGCACATGCACGCGCACACACACACATATGAGAATGTTCTTTTGAATAACAATGGCTAGTGAGAAAGGCAAGAAGGTTTTTACTTTGACACACACAGTGGTTCTAACTGGCGCCTGAACCCCTTTGCAGAGTGAGAGTGCACCAATTCTCCGTAGGCTCCCAAGGGTCTGTGTCCTGGGCATCACTCCTCCTAGTCATGTGTAGCTCTCCCTCTCTGCTGGCCCCCAGTTCTTACTCTCTCCCTCTCTGCCTCCTGTACCCAGCCTGGAGCTGACCTGGCGTGACATGCAGCACCTGACGGTGCTCACCTCCAAACGGAACCAGCTTCACGACGAGGTCCACCAGTGGCGGCGCAATGGGGTCGGCCTGGAGTTCAATCATCTCTTCGGCTATGGGGTCCTGGATGCCGGCGCCATGGTGAAAATGGCCAAGGACTGGAAGACCGTGCCGGAGAGGTTCCACTGTGTGGGAGGCACCGTGCAGGACCCCGAGTAAGTGGGGCAGAGCCTCTCCATCTCAGGGGCACGAGCTCCTCTGCCCCGTGCTTGTGGTCATCTGAGCTTGACCTATGGTCTCCTCTGTCCTCGGTCTGGGAGTCTCTGCAGCTCTGCAGCTCTGTCAGTTACACAGATCTGAATTTGAATCCGGCCTTCACCTCTGTAGACAAGGCTTTTGACCTCTCTGACCCTCTATTTTAACAACATTTGTGCTCTGCACCCTGCACTGCTTTAGATATGGGCCCCATTGTAGTACAGTGTTCTTATACTCAGTAGATAAAATACATCAGATTACAGGCTTTAGTAAAAAGTTCTAGTGGCAAGCCTAGTGGTCACAGTAATTCCAGAGCGGTAAAAACACTTGCAGTGACTGGGCTGAAATATGAAAATCTGGACTCTTTCATAGCAAGGCTGAGGAAGTGCTAATGTCACTCTGAGTTGAGGCCTGCACTCAGATCCAAAGAGGAGTGAAGCTTCTGTTATGTGAAGTATGACTGAAAAATCTGTGACTGTTCACATTTTTTAATTTTATCACAGTAAAAGATATATTGCCATTAATCCCCCTCAGAACACCCTCCTTCCCTTCACACACTCTGATGCCGTCATTCTGAAGCAGCTCTGGAACTTCTGTTTGCTGAATGTCTTTAGTTTCCCTGTCCTGGCTGCCTCAGGGTCCTGAATTGACTCAGAATGTTTTCTTTCATGGTCGTTTTGACTTTGAGGAAGAGCCAGAAGTCACACAGTGCCAGATCTGGTGAATAAGATGGGTGAGTCCACAGCACGTCCTTGAAACCTGCCTTTCTGCTGGACGGCACTCGGCAGTACCGTTCACCTTAAAGACACTCGTGAAATAGGACCTCCAGAGCAACTTCTGAAAGTAGCAAGAATGATGGCAGAAGTGCTTTCGAAGTGAGGGAAAGGGTTTTGAGGGGGATTAGTGGCAATGTGTCTTTTATTATAATAAATTTTTTAAATTTAAACATTCATCATATATTTTGAACACACATTTTAGGTTACAACAATTAAGATGCAGGATTTTTCCATCTCAATGTTTAGACCCTTTGAATGACCTAATATGTCCCAAGGTAAGGCCCTGGGGTCTTTTCCTAACAAGCACTCCCCTAAAATCTCCAGAATACCTGCCTAGTAGGGTGTTCACCTTCCCCAGGTCCTTAACTGCCATGCCAGAGGGTCTGTCACTGTGGGACCCCAAGGTCCTTTGGGAGTAACTGAGAGAGAGTTGAGACAGGAGCCACTGTGCAAGTGGAAATGGGGGGTTGAAGGCTCTGCCCTGTTCCCAGTGACTCATTTAACCCAGGTCCATGTGAAAGGCACACCGCTTCCAACACACAGGATGCGAAAGCTGTCCTGGCCCAGCTCTAACAGGCTCCTCAGAGACCGGTCCTGGCTGACTGGTGAGGGGTCTGTCACAGGGCCTCCTCCAGTGCCAGTCACTTAGACACGGGTACCTCTGAATGAAGGAGGAATGAAAGTATGAAGCCAGCATCCTTGGGCACAAGGAAGGGATCGAAATGCTGTCCACAGGCACAGCGGGCCAGCCAGGAGCTCAGGAAGGAACCCCCATGGCCACGGCTGGCAGAGCACCACATCTCCTAAGTGCCCTCCAGTGCTTGCCCATCCTGCTCCTAAACTTGTCCTCAGAGGCATGTGAGTGAAGCCCAGGGCAGAGATGCTTGGCAGAGAACTCAGAGGGGCCCCAGGCCTGGCTGCACCCTGATGCCCTGGAATGGCCCTTGCAAGGGGCTGCACAGAGGAACCAGCCTGGCGACGGCCATGCAGGGCACCACCATGCAGGGCAGAGTGCAGAGGGTGGCGATTGTCAGGTTTGTGGGTTTCCTTGGCATTTATCTTCCCAGAGAAGGAGTCAATTTGAAAAGCAATTTTCCAAAGAGGCTTTATCAGGACAGTCTGCAAAGGATGCTTGACTTAGCTCAAGGCAGGAGGGGGCTGCAGCCGCTGCGCCCTGCTGCACCTGCTGTGCAGAAGAAGCAGAGCTACCAGACCTGTCCCGCTGCCAGGGCTGTGGGGAGCGTCAAGCTCAGGTGCACCCCATGGATCCTTCTGCAGCTCCTTAAAGCAGTGGCACTATAGGCTCTAATTCTGAATTTTAAGTGAATTTGGAAATATGAAGTGTGATCAAAATATATGGCAATGTTTACACTTTTTAAAATGTATTATGGTAAAAGCCACACTGCCACTAATCCCCCTCAAAGTCCTCCCCCTCGCTTGGAACACACGTGTCTATCCAAGGGAAAGGCAGGCTCATGAAAACATGACAATGAGTCCTCACCCACCTTATGCACCAGATCTGGCCCTGTGTGACTTCCGGCTCCTCCCCAAAGTAAAATAAGCATGAAACACAAATGTTTTGAACGGATTCAGAGGCAGCCATGACAGAACAATTAAAGACCCTCATGAAAGAAGACTTCCAGAGCTACTTCAGAAAGTGGCAAGAACGATGGGATAAGTGTGCTTGAATCAAAGGAGAGTAATTTGAGGCTATTAGTGGCAATGAGGCTCTCATTATAATAATTTTTTAAACATTCATCATATTTTGTGATCACACCTGATATCTTCCATTTTGTGCTCCAGAGTAGAAGCCAGGCAGGGGAGGACGCTGGCATAGGCAGGGACCAGAGAAAGGACACAAAGGCCATGTGCCCACCAGGCATTGCACTTGCGGGTTAATATACGGTCTTGTTTAACCTCACAAGATTATCCACAATGCCAGTGAGACTTCCAGCACCTAAACGATTTGCCCAAACTTCATGACCCTAAGCATAGATGCAGAATTCTAATCCAGGTAGGTATATTCCCATAGGCAGGAGTCTTCACATCGTCCGTGCAGTCCTCAGATGTGGAGTCCCTCAGGCATAATGTCCCCAGTGCCAGGGCCTCCGAGCTTCTCACGTGGGATGGAGGCCAGCTTAGGAGGAGACTAGCATGGGGAGAGAAAGTATAAGGAACACTTAGGCCGAACCCTCAGGGGCTCCAAACCTGGGGCCAAACTCTCCTGACCTTGCACAGGACTGCCTTTCTCTAGATTTCACTCACCTAACTTCAACTTCTTTTAACGGGAGAACAAGTTAAGGACCCTAATCTGAAAATCAGAAATGCTCCAGGAGTTTCTGAGTGCCAATGAGATGCCGCAGGTAGAGAATTCCACACCTGACTTGTGTGATGGATCCCGGTCCAAACACAGGTGCACTGAACACACTGTTCCACATTGCGCTCAGGTGATGGGGATGAGGTTCGTGTGAAACAGACAGTGCTGCATGCTTACTCTAGGTCCGGTCCTAAGAGGTCTCGTTATGTGTATGCAAATATTCCAAAACCTAAAACCCTTCTGGTCCCAAGCGTTTCCAATGAGAGCTGTTCAACGTGTAGTAACAATTATAGCGGCAGCAGCTTCTGTGTACCAGGCACCTGGCACTTCACAAGGAAGTGTGAACTCCAGCCCCAAAGTCAACCCCGAGGCAGGACCTGCTGAGTTTTTTTAGAAGTGATTCCAGGAAACACCAGTGAGGGAGGGGACATGTGAAAAAGGGAAGAGGAAAAAGGCCCACAAAGAATGCATGAACGAACCAGGCACATGCATGTCATCCCAGCACTGTGAGAGGCTGAGGTAGGAGGCTCACCAAGTTGGAGTCCAGCCTCGGCAAGAAGACCCTGTCTCAAAATTAAAAAAAAAAAAATTTTTAAAAGGCCTGGGGAGGGGCTGGGGATTTAGCTCAGTGGCAAAAGCGCCTGCCTGGCAAGCGCAAGGTCGTGAGTTCGGTTCCCGGTACCGTAGAAAAAACAAACAAAAAAAAAAAACAACAAACAAACAAACAAAAAAAGGCCTGGGGATGTAGCTCCTCCGTGTAAAGGTCCTGCATTCAATGTTCAGTACTGCAAATAAAGAAAGAAGGAAGGAAGGGAGGGAGCAGGAAGAAGAGAGGGAGGGAAGAAGGAAGGAAACAAGGAAGGGAGAGGAAAGAAGAAGGAAGGAAAGAAGGGGAGCTGTGCCATCCATTGCGGACAAAGCTCAGCCATGCTGGGGGCCCTCGCACTGGCACTGAGAAGTCGTCAGTCGAGGGCTCAATCTGGCTCCGCCCCTGCGCTGCACAGCGGAGAAGCTCTGGCTGTGAGAGGTGACCCCCAGGGGCCTTGGGAGACTTGGAGGGCCCCAAGCAGGCCTGCTACCTCTCCTCTTCTGGGGCGGGTCCAGTGTGTGGCTTCCTCCGACCCACCGACCCACCGACCACACCAGTGGTGCTAGCGTGGGGATTAACCCCGCCCCGTGTGACAGCCCCAAGCCCCGCCCCTTCCCTCCCGGCCCTGCCTGCAAAACCCTGGCCTGTGCCCGCCTTGCCTCACCCATCTCCTCCTCCCTCCCCAGGAAGATCCCGCCCTCAGGCAAGCTGGTGCTCACGCTTACCACGGATGCGTGCGAGGGCCAGGAGAACTTTGTGCGCTACCTGGAGCACGTGCAGGCGGTCATCACCGTCAACGCCACCAGGCGAGGAGACCTGAACATCAACATGACGTCGCCCATGGGCACCAAGTCCATTCTGCTGAGCCGGCGGCCACGGGACGACGACTCCAAGGTGGGCTTCGACAAGTGGCCTTTCATGACCACCCACACGTGGGGGGAGGACGCCCGGGGGACCTGGACGCTGGAGCTGGGCTTCGTGGGCGGCTCGCCCCAGAAAGGGGTGCTCAAGGAGTGGACCCTCATGCTGCATGGCACACAGAGCGCCCCGTACATCGACCAGGTGGTGCGGGATTATCAGTCCAAGCTGGCCATGTCCAAGAAGCAGGAGCTGGAGGAGGAGTTGGACGAAGCCGTGGAGAGAAGTTTGAAGAGCATCCTCGGCAAGAACTGAGCTGTGCCGCCTCCCTCCTCCGCCCTCAGCCCTGTGTCCACCGCCACCTCTTCCTCGCTGTGCCCTGCCAAGCACCCAGCAATCACTGTCGCCCCGCCCCGGCGACTCTGTCTTCTCAATCAGCAGCTTCACCCGCTGTCCAGATTATTTTCATTAGATGGAAGCAATCTTCATAATTATGAAGAAAGCCCCAAAGGCAGCGTTCCCACCGACATCTTCGCCCCATGTGTGTCTCTCCCTTCTGCATTTTCTGTCATTCCAATGAGTGGTGTCCTGCGAGCAAAGCTGGGACAGCCCCCCTCCCTGACATTTTTCACGACTGAGAGAAGGATGCATGAAAAAAGCCACATTCAGGGAACTCCCAAGTCTATGGTCTCCTCTGAGGAGTCACAAGGAAATTAGAGCTAATAGGGACAGCGCGTTCTGCAGCCTTTGCAGCGCAGGGAAGACTATAAACCATTCCCGCAAAGATGGTTAGAATTTAGAAAGATTTGTCAGGGATGGAGATTATGTCGACATCACTAGAAAGATGCCATCTGTGGAGAGCCTTAATCACTGAACTGGGGAAAGAGATTCAAAAAGCATGAGCTTTGGAAATTTTTCCACCAGCGCCACCGTGGTAATTCACCGAGTCAGCAGGCCGCTGAGGAGCACCTCAGTGGGGAGGCTGTCTGTTGCAAGCTGCTCGGAGTGACAGGAAAATCTGCAGATGCAGCCCAAGCCCCCCACTTTGGAGAGAGTCCACGCCCTCTGCAAACGTGGGAGGTCCTCCTATAGCTGTCCAAAAGAAAAAAATTAAGGCAGGCTGGTGACACAGCTGGGATGAGTACTTTGCTAGTTTTTTAAATAGAAATGTTCCCTTTCCTAAGTCACTCTGGGATTCTTGATTTGATGTCAGTGAGAGGTAAGATGAGTATTATTTTTTTGACAGCTTTACACACATCTAGTCAGGTTTTGATCTCCCAAAAACATCACTGGAGAGAAATGCAGCCCCTTGCGGGATGGTTTGATTTCTGCGTGGGAGACGCAGCCTCTGTCCTGCAAGAGGCCAAAGGGTGAGCAGCATCTTTGGAGACAGGACCTTCACCGTGCCAACAGGCGCACGCCCCATCGCATCACCCCCAGGAGCCAGGCGGAAGGAAGCAGGTGGCCCCCTCTAGGAAAGCACACAGTTGCCGTGTCGGCAACTCAGAAATCCATGAGAGCATCTAACACGCAACCCCATCGTTAAAGTTGCCAATCCTGAAATATAACACTTCATTACCAAAGAGTGGCCTGTGGCCACTTTGTTCCTTCCTGAGGGTTGGCCTCTCATGCCCAGCCCCAGCGCCTAGCTGTTCTCACGAAATTCTTTCTCAGCCACTCCCGGCCCTGACCTCCCACCCAGCCAAGAGTCCCCTCACTAAAGCCAGCAACACGGGGCCCTGCTCCGTCCCCTGACAGTGGCAACCCTGAGAAAGAAACCCAGAAACCTCACTGCTTTCTTTTCTCCCCCATACTGGCATGAATTTCTGTCTTCTCCTACACCTTGTGACTTCCTCCGCATCCTGCTTTGAAGTATGATACAACTTATGATTTTTTTAAAAGAAATTTATTACTTGTTGCAAAGGTCTTTTTAAACCAGTTTAGATTTAAAGAAAAAAAATTAAGGGAAATCATTGAAAATTCATTTCACATTAATGGTCTGAAAATAAACCAAAGGACATTATGTGTGCACATATGTACAGGTGCACACAGAAATATATATACATATGTAGACTATACACATGTGTGTATATATGTGTATATATACACTTGTATAAATGTATATACACACATATACCTGAAATGTGTGTGTGTATTTATTGAAGAAACAGATACCATATTCATCTCTAAAAGAATATTCAGAGAATACCAAGATGATTCTGGCTAAAAGAAAAAGGTCGGTGGAAATTCAGGTGAAAATGTTCAATTCCCATTGTCACCTCTGTAATTTTGCAGCTTTCTGTATAAACATTAAATGTCTTATATAAGCAGCAAAAATATAAAATAGTTGTCCATATTTTCATAGCTGTGTTATAATTTATGAAGTTAGAGAGTAACCAGCTTCTTAATAGAAACAGCAAGTTTTGATATGAGTATACAGTATATAAAAATATATATAGTCCTATATATAAATATTTGGTCTCTACTTCATTTTTTGCAGCAGTATTAACACTAAACTATGTCCAGCTGGTGATGTTTTTATGATATCCCTGATCCTAAGACAAGAGACAGCTATTTATAGCCATTTATTTTAAAAAATGAAAATAAGTGAATAATGATTATTCAGGTTACATTGCTATTCCCTGTGACAAAATTTTATAAGTAAATTTAAAAAGATGTGTTGTAAATTAGGAGGCACAACAATAAAACATAACCTTCCGGAAATTATGTGGGATGTACTATATCTTACTTGAAGCACTTCCATCCATTAAAGGGGCAGGTAATAAAAAGCTGCCCAAGAGAGATCCAAAAAGCCTACTTCAGTAAATATGCATGAGACACATAATTAACATATAAATCATACACAAATAATGATCAACAGCAGCATTTTTCTCACTCATGTTAGTTCTGTTAATGGATTGTAAAATCAGTTTAGAAAGTTGATACCAGCATTTTCTTAATAGAATAGATTAGGAGGATAGAGCAGAGTAGACTAGATGGTGCCTACTGAAGATAAGTACTGTTTCCCGGAAAATTTGTTTCCAAGCTGTGCATGCATGTGTGTGTGTGTGTGTGTGTGTGTGTGTGTGTGCGTGTGTGTGCATGTGTGTGTATGCATGCATGCACATGCATGTGTATGTGTATGTGTGTGTGCTACCTCACAGTAAAATGTATTTCTTATTCTGGGTCATGGTCAAAATCTTTTAGAGCCAGGCACGGTGTCATATACTTGAAGCTCCAGCTACTCTAGAGGCCAAGGCGGAAGGATTGCAAGTTTGAGGCCAAACTCAGCAAACTTGACCCTGTCTCTAAATAAAATAAAAAGGGCTGGGGATGTAGATCTGTTGCAGAGGACTTACTTAGCATCCTTGAGGGCCTGGGTTTAACCCCCAGCACTGTAAAACAAAACAAGACTAAACTTTCAGAAACACCATTTTAGAATACATTAGCCAAGCTAGATTGAACTCTGTTAGTTACAAATGACCTCAAAATTCCCGTGGTTTAATACAACAGAGGCTTATTTATCATTCACAAATTCTAAAGAAGCTGGAGGTGACTGCCCAAGGCAATACAGTCCTCCAGGCAGGATCCATGCTGCTTCCAATCTGCAGTTTGTAACCACAGCTGAAGCTGCTCCAGAACCTGTGGCAGACTCTCATCCACTCTCTTCCATTCACACTGAAGGAGATAACGACCTTGCTTAAGCACAGAGTAAGGGGGAAATGTCAGGTGACTGATAATACTTGATGAGCACTGCTGTCTCTGCCACAAACTACTGAGCAATACCTGAAAACATACCCTTAAACTCTGACCAACATGGTGTATTAGTCCCTTTCCTGTTGCTGGGACACAGTACCTGACACTCACAATTTAAAGAAGAAGAGATTTCATTGGGCTCATGGCTCCAGGGGGTTCAGTCCATGGCCAGCTGGCTCCAAGGCAGAACTTCATGGTGGAAGGGCTTGGCGGATCAAGTTGCCGAGCTCATGGTGTCCCTGAAGCAGTACAGGAGAACAGTGCCAGAGAGAAAGGAGCTAGGGACCAGAGAGATAGACCGAAGGCCACACCTCCACGACCCACCCAGACATACCCAGGAATATGCTTTACTAAACCCCTAGGTGGCTCCCACGCCAATCAAGTGGCTATAACTAAGCATAACCACCACACATGGTAACCCCTCGTCATGGACAGCCTGCTACAGACTAGCTGTACTCTACACAATCACATGCTAGTCCAGAAAAATCTCAGTAGTTCATTATAAAAATAATTCATAATTTTGTTCTCTGATACAGTATTCATCAACCGCAGCTAGTAAAATCCTAAGAAAGCCTCTGACAGAAAACTGAAAAAGCAAAGGGTATAGGTAAGCCCCAAAGTTGCACAGAGATGCTTCTAGTCAACGCTTAATTTTAGAGACTGAACCCCCAAAAATAAATTTCTTATGAACTTATTATTCTATGTCATCATTATTATCCTTACAAATTAGTAATGGGCTTTCATGGGGTCAATACATTCATTGATTAGAATGATTATGTGAAAACCACACAGTATAAAAGATACATTATGGGAAACAGGGAGATAGATCATTTGCAAATGGGAAGGGCATTAAGAGATGGAGGGAAGAGGAAGCAAGGAGAGGGGAAGGGGATCTAAAAAAATTAAGATGCATTACATACGTGCACCAGCTCCCCACAATGAATGTAATCATTATATACTGCACACTGTACTAATAAAATTTAGAGAGAGAGAGAGAAAGAAAGAGAAAAAGGAAGGAAGGAAGAAAAGAAAGAAAGAAAGAAAGAAAGAAAGAAAGAAAGAAAGAAAGAAAGAAAGAAAGAAAGAAAGAGAAAGAAAAAAGAAAAGAAAAGCTTCAAGACATATATCAAACTCTTTATATTTAGGGAGAGAGAACTGCTGAAGAAATTGTTGACCTCATAACAAGAATAGGTCTTTAGGGCTGGGGATTTAACTCAGCAGCACAGCACCTGCCTGGCAAGCACAACATCATGAGTTCAATTCCCAGTACCAGAAGAAAAACAACAAAAACAAAACAAAACAAAACAAAAAATAGGTCTTTCGAAGCAAAGAGTCTAACTTCCTACAAATTTCTAAAGATCAAGATGCAAAGGTTAGGGACAGTGGTACAAGATTAGGTTAGGTAGAGGTTAAAGAGTTCTAAAAGCTCTGGGAATTTGAAATACTATCAGCACAGAGCATCTCTCGGGCTGAATTGGTTGGAGCCAGCAAGTGGTTTTCTATCTCCAAAGAAAGAATGGGTCACCAGAAAGGGCAGAAGGAAAGAGACCACTCAGCAGTGTGGGGAGCTGGGGAAGGTGGACAGTCAGGTGGTGAAAGCTGGCAGACAGAGGCAGCGTATGGAACTCTGGTCCCTGAAGAGGAAAAGTTCATCAAAGATACAGACGGAGGCTCGGGGTGAGCCAGCCCCAAAAGGATGAGTCATCTCCTGCAAGGGTCCAGACTGTGGCCACCCACAGCCTCCCACGAACACTAATGCCTGCTTAAGTGATACGCACACAGGGGTCTACAGAAAGGGACCCCCCTTTTACACTGCAAATTAATCACCCAATACTTGGGTCTTTGCACTTGTCTCTTGCCCAGTTCATTGCACCCTTTCCTTGGGTTCAAAAAACTCTGATGAGATTTGGGTTCAGGTTGGACTTATAAGGAACCGAGAATCAAAGTCTGACCTGGGGTTAATTCTCTGAGCCAACGTGCCAGCTGTTTTTCTCTTAGAACTCAGAAAAGAGGCACTGTGAACATGCAGATAGAAGGAAAGGAGTGGGAAATGCACTGGGCCCGAAGAGATGATGACTCGTGCAGCTGAGTTGCCAGGGCTCAGTCCTGTGTGATCTGGGCTGCAGCCTGGAGGGAAGGTGGTTAGAACTCTCAGAGCACAGAGTTTCCAATTTCAGAAGAGCCCAGGGAGGCTGCCAAGTCCTCACCTAATGTCCACTGTCTCCGATTCCCACCAGGGAGCTTTCAACGCCTTCTGCCCTCCCTGACCTGGTGAGCCACACCTCGTACTGTCCTAAAGGCATCCCTCTATGCCACAGGGACATCCCCTGGGTTAGTCCAAGCTGGAGGTGCAAACATACTTTTTCCTCTACTGGTCCCATGCCCGAAGACTGCTGACTGGCCACGGGCGACAGGGAAGCCACCTGGTAAACTCCTGGTTCAAGCACAAGGCTAAAGGGCTAGTGTGGCTATCGAGGGCCCTGCAGAGTGGAGTTATGGGAATAAATCACTCTTTAAATAAAACATAAGTTGATGGCGCTTTTGTGCATTTATCCATGCCTAAGAAAATGAAGCTAAGAATTTGTATTCATCAAGGTACCTGAATGACAATGCCGTTTGTCATTAAGGTGCCCTTTGTCACTTGCACCAGCTTGTCCCAACCACAAACCTGTGACAGGGAATGGAAGGATGAGCCTGACTGTAATGGCTGCTTGAAGATCTTTCCCTGAAGGGTCCAAGTCAAGGACAGAACTGAATGTCATTCCCCAACAGGAGAGCAGGAGGACGTCAGCAGGGATGCCAGCTGAGATGTGACTTCCAGTGTGCAAACTAGATTTGGTAGCAGACCTGTTGGTCCATCAGGGAGTCAGAAAATTGGGCCAGATCCTGCCAGCCTGGTTTTGGGGGTACCGCTGTGTTGGAAGCAGCCACACCCGTGTGCTGTGGCACTGGCAGCACCATGTTCTGACAGCAGAGTCCAGCCAGAGAAGCGACTGTGGGGTATCCGGAGGAAAGGCCCCACCCTGCGCCCTATATCTTATTGGCCCACTGTGTTGTCACCTGAGGGTTTCACTGCTGCCAATGGCCAGCCGCTCTGTCTCTGCCTACGGCCGTTGTGCTAGTGCAGAGATGCACCAGGCCTCGTGTGCAGCAGGTGGGGGAGCATCAAGGTACCTGAGCCATGACTCCCTTTGTTATAAAGTGCCAAAGACTGGGTGAGTTCTACAGTGCTACCTTCCTAGGAAGACAGATGGAAGCTGCAGAAGAGAGGTCTCAGCTTCCTCATCTTTGGCTGGGACGATGTAAAGATGGTCTACTTAGCCTCTCCAAAGGTTGCGGGGTGGAGCCCCACTTGCCGGCCATAGTGGCCTGCTCATTCACGCACCCCATGCCAACACGTGCCTCCCCGTCTCACGCTCCAGTCCTCCACAGTCAGGAGACAGAAACCATCACTGTGACCCTAGCAGAATTGAAAATTTAAAAGCACCATAAACAGAATATAAAGATCTGTTACTATGGGGTTGGTCCAGCCCCAATCTCCTAAATGAGTGGACAGTGAATGGTTTAAATAAAAGAGGTCAGTAGTATGATTCTGCAGCATTCAGGAAGGTCAGAGCACCCTCTCTCTCCCTCCTTCTCTCTCCCCACCTCCCGTAAAGACAAAGAGCTCCACCAGATAACCCATATTAATTTGATTTTCAAACAAAGGAAGGGACACTGAGGCAAGGCAGGAACTGAGCAGAACCTTGGGAAGTTAGTTTAAAGACTTCTCCAAGCAGTAAATTTTGCCAATTAACAAAAAAAAAAAAAAAAAAAAAAAGGCGGCGGGGCTGGGGATTTAGCTCAGCGGCAAAGCGCCTGCCTGGCAAGCACAAGGTCGTGAGTTCGGTTCCCGGTACCAGAGAAAAACAAAAAAAAAAAAAAAAAAAAAAAAAAAAAAAGGCGGCGGGGCTGGGGATTTAGCTCAGCGG